ACAACTCATTTAGAAGTAGTCCCACTGAACTCACTAATACACAACCAAATCAACAACAGCTGCAACATGCTCCCCACCCGCCGCCCAGCAAAAACCCTGAAACAACTGAGCCTAAGAGTATAAATCTAGCAAAGCCTAAGACATCTCCAAACGGTTTTTTCAGGGTTTTTCACAAATAATGCTACATTATTGGCATATCATTATGATCTAAATGGTTCTGCTAATGGGTCAGTGCGAACAGCAGTGGGGATAGAGGACATCTCTGCTGAGTACCTCTACATAATCTGCATGAGTCTGAATTTACTCCATTCGCTGAGATATAGGCTTTAGGCTTGGAATATATGACAAATCCACATCATAAAACCTCACCTGCCCAGTTCACTATATTTCTCAACACTGCACTATGCAATTTAATGGGGCTGGGCGCTAGATTGGGCAGATCATACTGAATCTAGTGGATTTGTCCTACCCTGCCCTGCCCCTTTAGTTCTACCCTGATATAGGACCAGATCTGGGTTGGGTGTGACCTAGGTTCGGATAGGGCTGATCTGGGTCCACATCTGTGTGTGTGTGTGTGTGTGTGTGTGTGTGTGTGTGTGTGTAAGCACAGCCCTGGAATTACTCAAGATGTGATTATGGCTGCTTTTGGTATTGCATAGTGATATGGTTGGCTACTGTGTGGAGCAGAATGCTTGGAAAACCTGGCATTTCTTGGAAAACCTGGCATTCTCCTAAACAGACCTCATATACAGAAAGGCGCATATGCACAAATTAGATGTGATACAAGAGATCTATGAATAAAATAGCTACAAGTAGTTCTTTAGTTGTCAACTGACCAGATCTTCTTCCAGAATCATTTGCAGTTAAAGAAATAAAAACAAGCATTTAATGCATGCAATTAAAAAACAAACAAACCATATCCTTGCCTTCCGAAGATGAACTCAGTCTATACTGACTCTGTATGTTCCTCATCCCTAAAAAAACAAACAAAAAAACCGCTTTCTCTCTTGGAGATGAAGAGTACACTATCCATTGTAAATAAGCTCAATTAAAAGCAAAAGTAGCCATGCTGGCCCATTAGAAAACAACAACAACTCCACAATCCACAGTAGGGTAATGTGTTTCACAAAGCAGGGGGTGAGGGAGATCAGAGTTTCTTTCTTATTTAAGCACAAAAACATGTTGTAATCATGACCTGCAAGATAAAGACCACAGGCTGAGATGCCATTCATTGGAGGCAGTAGAATCTAGCACAAAAGTTAGGACCCAATTCACAATGGCTTTTTCAGATTACCATTTCAATCTGTAAGTAATCATTGTAAAATTGGTGCAGGGCGAATCTTTTCAACCCTGCAAAACCAACAGAAGAGTCTTGTAGCACCTGAAAGATTAAAAAATTTATTATGACACACACAATATAATTGGATGCATAAAGTGTTATACTGAGTTGCAGGGACACAATTGGTGGGGAGCTTGTAAAAAAAGATCAGAGGGAAACTAAATGCTGAATTATACAGTTGAGGATTATGACCTTTTAAACTGCAACGATGCACCAAAAACAGTAGTTGATAACACAGACATCCTTGCACTGGTAAGCCAGTTTTTAGCACATCCAGTGTGGTTTTAAAAAACGTAAACCCAGCACCTATTGTATTGATTCCACCTGCAAATAATAGCACTGGTGCATTGTAATACAATGGTCTCATGGTTTGAGGCCACTTCATTCAATAATGAACACCTTAAGGTCAGTGACAGAGCATCCTGAGAAACTGAAATGTTCCCTCTTTGGCTTTTCTATACTGCTATTTCAGATTTGTGCTCATTCATTCTTTTGCAGACGAGCTAGAAGGTCATTGCATAGACCAGCTAGAAGGCAACTGATGGTATATATTACTTTGGAAGATGAGCAGGTGAATTAGTCCCATTATTAGCTCCTGTAATAATTATGTTAAACTAGATATGGGAATAAAGTTGGTACCTGGCTCTGCCACAGCGTCTGGTCCCTCTTGTCCACAATCCTGTTATATAGCCTGTTACTCATGAAGAAGTGTTTTTAGGTTAATGGGCTGTCACCCAAGGCCTGTGATAGGAACGTGTCACCAATGCATCTCAGATAGAAGAGAGGCTTTCAGTTCTGTAGTCACTCTTGTTTTATAACAGATTGAACTAAGTAGGTAATTGACCTGATGTGATCAATCCTCTCCTCTGAACAGGTTAACCAAAATTGGATGATTACCAAAGTCTCAGAGCTGTTTGGAGAGTATCAGAAAGGATAAAATACAACTGAATAAAATAGGCATTCACAGCCACAACCGCAAGGAAAACTTATTTTTTATTTCATTTTTTAAATTAAGATTACGATCCTAAACACACCATGGAGTAAGTCCCATTTAATTCAGTGGATTTTATTTCTGTGGCACACGTATTTAGTCTATAAGAAGGTGACGGTACACAGGGTTTTTTTAAACCATATAGTGAAAAAATCCCCTTATAAAATATGGGAGAAAATATAAAGAAATACTAGAACCAAAGACCTCACTGACAGAAGCCATGGCAGTAAAAAAGAAAAATATGAAAGGAGACTGCCAATGTAGAGAATGATATTAGAAGAAAACAATAACAAATTGACGCTGAAGAAGTTTGAAGAAATTAGGTTGTACCTGACGGATTGGTTACATATTTTCAATTAAATGAAAAATTAAGTATAGATTAAAAAAAGGATTTGAAAATAAGACATCAGATTTGGAAAAAGAACTAATCCAATCCAAAGGAAAATATATTTCAAAAATGTACAGTCTACATCTTGAGTGGGAGGTAAAAGAAAAGGTAAAAGTAAGAGGTGATGGTGCGTTGGGCCCAGGAACTTGGATATTCACATGAACCAGTGGGAGAAATTATGGAAGGTGGACATGAAGTTTACAGCATGCTGTCATCTTAGAGAAAACATCATGACAATGATGTACAAATGGTACCTTACCCTGACCAAATTGTATAAAAATAGATCAGATGTGTGCTGGAGATGCAAAAAGGTAAAGGTTCGTATATGCATATGTGGTGGGAATGTAAGAGTATAAGACAGTTTTGGGACATCATATATACAGTAATGAATTAAAAAAGATATTAAAATTCCCATTTACAAAGAGACCAAAAGCCTTCTTTTTAGGAATAATGTCAACAGAAATTTTAAAAAATAGCAGACCACTCTTCAAGCAATTTAAATTTTTTAAAAAATAGCAGACCACGCAACAACAACAGCCAGGATCCTGGTGGCGAAGAATTGGAAAAGTGGAAAGACCTCCCACAAAAACCGAATGGCAGGTTAAAATGATAGAATACTTACAATTGGCAAGGATAACAGGGAGAGTTAGAGGATACCCGATGCAGAAGATCAATAAGGAATGGATAGTATTTAAAGAATATTTAAAAAACTATTGTGATAACAAAAACCTCCTGGCAGATCTTGAGTGACTCTTGTAATATAAAGGTGTAAACAATAGAACTTCTTTGATAAGATTTTGGAAAACAGAACAACAATAAGGCACTGTGTGATAAATAACAAAATGAGAAATAGTACAATGAGAATAATCGGAATTATATTTTAATTACTTTAATTTTTTATCTTTACCTTTTTCTTTATTTTCCTTTTTCCTCTTTCTTTGAAAAGTAGTTGTAGATGTAGTGTGTGATGTAAATATTGTATTGTTGTGTGCTGTTATGTAGGTTAATGTTGATTGTTTAATAGTTAATAACAATCATAATCATAAGGATTACACTGCAAATTTTAATGATAGGATTGTCTCCTGTTCATGATTTTTATGGGTTGCTCATATTTTGAGACCACAAGGAAATAATATTATAGAGTTTGTTGTTTGGTTGGTTTATTATTCTTGTTGCATCCCAACAGTCTTCAATGAGTGTGTTTTCAGTTTCCAAACTATGCATTTTATGGAGGAAATGGTTTCCGATGGTAGGGTCTTTTTAAACTACCCATTTGTTTGTAGAAAAACAATAGGATTCTAGCATTGTAGGGGCTTGGAAGAGATGACCCTCAGGGTCCCTGCCAACTTCACCGTTTGATGGTTCTGCTTCAGCACTGTGGAGCAGCTCTCTTGGGTTTCAGGTGGGAGTCTCATCAAGCCCTACTACCTGGGAGACACCAGGAGCTGGACCTGGGACCTTCTGCATGAAAACAACACGTTCTGCCACTAAGTTACAGTGTTTCCCATCACTGCAGTAAGGTTTTCCCAGTGGCCAGCAATCTGCAGTGGATCTGTTGGCTCTTGCATCAGCTCATTTCCAGCTTCCATCTCTTTCCTTATGCTTGTATCCATGCTTGGAACTCATGAATGGGCATAAAACTTTTCTGTCCCATCAAGCCTATGCAGGCAATTTAAAGCACATCGCCCACAATGGTCTGCTGGTGTTTGTTTTTAATTATTTTGCAAATGTAAACTACTGTGATATATTATATCTCTCTAATATTGTTTGCTAATTTTTCTGGTACTGCTTCATGCCTTTAGTTCCATGTCTTGCTGCCATGAAGACACAGTGATGGGAAACAGTTCACTGGTGACATTTCTGCTAATTGAACAATTGTAAATACAGCTGAGCCACAAGAGAAGTAAAAGGAAGCTATTCTGGGAAGTGCAGCACCTTCCCACATTTTGTGGGATAAATGTCTGTTTCTGTGGTCTGCCGATGTGAACAGGACCCTTGCAATGTTGCAAGCAGCTTCTTGTTCTCTTGATCTCTGTCCATCCAGGCTGCTAAAGCTGACAAGTGTATCCAGGGGCCTGCTCCCTTTGGTCAAGCAGTAGTACATACATCCCTGAAGAAACCTCTGTGACGACATGGTGGTTTTGCTGGGCCGGTTCGATCAACACGTGCTTCTTTCTTTTTTTCCTGCCTGCAAATTGTTAATGAATGGCAGCCGCTGATTGGCCAGGGTTCCAGGAGGGAGAGTTTAAAAGGAGAGGTTTTGGAGAGACACTTAGTTTGAGAGGGTTGGTTGAAGTGGGTTGGAATTGTGGTTGGAGAGGGTGGGAGATAGGTAGGGAGACAGGTTAGGAGACAGGCTGAGGTATAAAGAGTGAATGGGAGAAAGAGTTGGCTCTGGAAAAAACAACTTCCACTCTTAGTGTATTGTGAAGGACAGAGTGTGGTGTCCTGTAGGAGGAATAGACCGGAATTTTACTGGGAGGCAGAGGTTGAGCCAGGAGAAGTAGGAGCTGGAAAGGAACAGCCTACTTGGGACTCAAGCCTAGTCTGGAGGGGAGAGATTCTTCTAAGGAAAAGAAGAAACTCCCAGACCCAGTGAAGGGAGGGAGTGTGGGGAGCCCTGTGGTCAATTACTTAAAGTACCTCAGGAGCAGGCTTGTTAAAGGGGGTGGATAACTGAAAGAATGTATCAAGGAACCAAGCCAATAATGCAAAAACAAACTGACGACAAATTTAAAGTGAAATTGCACAGTATTTCTGAACTAACCTAAGTTGAATCAATTTGTGTTATATACTATCTTGCCTTAAATAAATCTTTATTGTTTATTTAAAGAAAACCTGTCTGAGACTCCAACTTACTAGTTACCCCTTCACAAAGGTCCTTCGCAGCATACTCTGGGGCTAGAATTTTTAAGGGAAAAGGGATAGAAACCTTCATGTAAAGGGTTGTTCAGTGAGGCGGGGGGAATTTATCTAAGTGAGAGCAGGCCCAAAGGCATGAAAGGAAAAAGTGTCGTTGTGCCCGTTGCAACCTCCTCTTGCACCTTTTTTTGTGCTTTACGACAACCACCATCTGCTTGCAAATATCCCCTTCTTGGGCAACATGGTGAAGAGAGAGGTGGAGGAGCTGTTACAGGAGTTTCTGGAGGATACAGCCCATCTGATCCCTTATATCACAGTTTGATGACTGAGGTTTTCAGGGAAGACGTTAATGGTGTTGGTCCCCAATAGTTCAGATGAACAGCTTGTATTTTACAGATTCTATGCATTCAATATTATGGACCCAGTCCTGACTGAGTTTAGACAGCTCTCCTGCCTTCTAAACTTCAGACACTTGACAAAACCTTTTCTATTTTGCATTTTGTATTTTAAGATGGTTTCCTGATTCTCTGATTGGTTAGCAACTTGCTGGCCTTGTTAAAATTCTGTGGCTGGCAAGATAAAAGGCACTCATTTTCAATGCAACCAGCATACTTTCCAAAGTGCATAGTCAAATTCTTGCAGCAGTGAAGGTCTTCACGATCAATGCAGAAATGGGATTGTTGATCATACATATTTCAAAAGGAGATTCTTTTAAAATGCATTGCAAGAATCAGAATGTGATAGATTTACGGGCAAGGGATATTGGACATAATATACAATTGGCATCATGGGAAAAATTAAGGAGGGAAGATTTAAAATTTACAACATGCTGTATGTTGAAAGAGAATTATATGAAAATGATGTATCGCTGGTACTGAACTCCTACCAAGTTAGCAAAAATGTATAGAACGGCTACAGATATATGTTGGAAGTGTAAAGAGAAAGAAGGCACACGTGATGGACGTGCAAGAAGACAAAAGGATATTGGGAAATGATTTATAATGAGTTGAAAAAGATGTTTAAACTTACTTTTGTGAAAAATCCTGACGCTTTCTTACTAAGAATTTTAGATCCAGAAATACCTATCAGAATAGACAATTTATGTATGCTACAACAACTGCTATTTGCCCAAAGATGGAAAGAGGACAAAGTACCTACAAAAGAAGAATGGTTGATAAAGATGATGGACTATGCCGAAATGGCAAAAATGAATGGGAATATCAGAGATCAAGGGGACAATAAATTTAATAAAGAATGGGGAAACTTTATAAGTTACTTAAAAGAACACTGCAAAAAAAAATTAAAAAGATTGGCAGGATTCCAAACAGTTATTGCAATGTAGTGGGAACTATGGTAAAAACTGAATTTTAAGGAAATATGGAGAATATTATATGCTGCAGTTGGAAAAGAAGATCTTGGGAAACCATGGAAAGGTGGAGGGAAGTCTCGGGATTCAGAGAATCCTGTGTGTAGAATGACTATGATTTATGTGTGTCAAGGCTGCCTCAAGTCTTAGCTCACAAAAGACCAACGCCTACGTCTTCTTGAATACAAAGGTGTTTATTGCAGTTCATGGTTTGCTTGACATCTTAGGCGCGCAGCCTTACGTCTCTTACGCTAGACCGCCGAAGTCCCGTCTGAGTCAGTCCCTCCTCTGCACCAATTTAAGAGACTTGCGCTGCTCCACCTCTTTCTCTCCTTCCTTTTCCGCAGGGTCTTTCTGCCCCCTGGGGTTTGCCCCTTCTGGATTCCTCTGACGCGGAATCAGACTGCTGCTCCCCCTCCTGCGGGCTTTGGGACCTGGCCCCTCCTCCGGGCTCCCTGCACTTCCGCGCGCCTCTACATTTGAACTAGGCGCGCGCGCCAAACCTCTAACTTTCCTTTTGACAGTTACACTGCTCCCTTCACTGCTCCCTCCCCTTCCGGGAGGGCTGCTTGCTCTGACCCCCCTCCTCTCTCTGCTGCTGGAGCTCCTTCCTCTGACACACTGGAAACTCCACCCCCTTCGCTGCACTTTGGTGGGGAGGCTGGTCCTGACGCCCAGCTGCCACTTTGGGATCCTCCGCTGGCACCCTGCTCCTGACATTTCCCCCCTGGGGCCCCCTGGCCCTGACCACCGGCGCCCCTTCTGGGAATCCTCTGATTCGCTGGAAAGACTCATGGAATCCCTTGAGTCATTGTCGTCCTCTTCCTCGCTGGCTTGGAATTCCTCCCCTTCGCTCTCCATCTCCTGCCTACCCTGTGCCTCTCTCTCTGAACCCCTGACATCCATCCCCCCCTCGAAGCCCCCCCTTCCCCCCTTCCGCTGCTCGGGCGCAGGTTCCGGGAGCCTCGTTGTAGCGGGGGTAGATGCTGGATACAGTTCGTCGACGTCGATCTCCTCTGCTTCCAGTTCAGTGTAGGAGTGCTCGAAACCGGGGTCCTCCCCCAACACCTCCACACCCTTCCCTACCGCTGTTACTTCAGTCGAAGATGCTTGCCAAGGCCCCTTCGCCACCCCACTTCTGGTTGATCGTCCCACCAATAAGAGCGGTCCGTGTCCACCCCGAGCCCGATCCCCTTGGAGGGCTCGATTGCGGCGTGGTCTCCTCTGCGGAGGAGAACCCCTGAAGGTGCTGCCTGAAAGTGTGGGGGTAAAAGCCAGTCGTCAAAATACTCCTCTGGCATGGGCCTGTGCGGGAAGAGTGCATGGAACTCGTCCTTAAGCCAAGATTCCTCCAGAGCATAATCTGGCACCCAACTGTTGGCGCTAGCCGAGGTACCTTCCTTGGCGAGGAGGTATTCCACTCCCTCCTCCCCCATCTCGAGTCCAGAATTTCCGTGACCTCGTTGAGTGTCGGGGTCCTCGGTGACTTCCCCCTGGTGACTTCCTACGCGGGTCTGGTGCCGTCCCTGGCTCCTGAAATCTGTGTGGGGCCTTGTAGGGTGTAAGCACCGACCTATGAAAGACCGGGTGCATTCGGGAATCCTCTGGGAGGGTCAACCGAAAGCTACGGGATTGACCCTGCCCTCAACTTGGTATGGCCCTAGCTGTTTGTGTCCTAGCTTCTTCTTAGCTAACGACCTGGCCGGCACCGCCTGGGCTGCTAACCATACCCAGTCCCCCACCTGGATGTCTTCTCCTGCCCTCCTGTGCCTGTCTGCCTGCACCTTGTAGGCGTGTTTAGCTAGTTCCAAATGCCGTCGTAGCTCCTCGTGGACCTCCTGCAATTCTGCTGCTAAATGTTCCGCTCCCTGCGACTCCCCCTGCGTCGTCGTCTCCAACGCCGGGAATGTTCTGGGGTGTCGCCCATTGTTGGCGAAGAACGGTGTCACCCCCGTTGACGCGTGCTTCGTGTTGTTGTAGGCAAACTCGGCCATCGGTAAGTAGTCCACCCAAGTTGCAGGCTTTTGATTGGCGTAACATCGCAGGTACTGCTGCCAAACTTCGTGAGCTGTGCAAAAAAAAATTTTTTGCTTGCTGAGACGGGACTTACTGTCAAGGCTGCCTCAAGTCTTAGCTCACAAAAGACCAACGCCTACGTCTTCTTGAATACAAAGGTGTTTATTGCAGTTCATGGTTTGCTTGACATCTTAGGCGCGCAGCCTTACGTCTCTTACGCTAGACCGCCGAAGTCCCGTCTGAGTCAGTCCCTCCTCTGCACCAATTTAAGAGACTTGCGCTGCTCCACCTCTTTCTCTCCTTCCTTTTCCGCAGGGTCTTTCTGCCCCTGGGGTTTGCCCCCTTCTGGATTCCTCTGACGCGGAATCAGACTGCTGCTCCCCCCTCCTGCGGGCTTTGGGACCTGGCCCCTCCTCCGGGCTCCCTGCACTTCCGCGCGCCTCTACATTTGAACTAGGCGCGCGCGCCAAACCTCTAACTTTCCTTTTGACAGTTACACTGCTCCCTTCACTGCTCCCCTCCCCTTCCGGGAGGGCTGCTTGCTCTGACCCCCCTCCTCTCTCTGCTGCTGGAGCTCCTTCCTCTGACACACTGGAAACTCCACCCCCTTCGCTGCACTTTGGTGGGGAGGCTGGTCCTGATGCCCAGCTGCCACTTTGGGATCCTCCGCTGGCACCCTGCTCCTGACATTTCCCCCCTGGGGCTCCCCTGGCCCTGACCACCGGCGCCCCCTTCTGGGAATCCTCTGATTCGCTGGAAAGACTCATGGAATCCCTTGAGTCATTGTCGTCCTCTTCCTCGCTGGCTTGGAATTCCTCCCCTTCGCTCTCCATCTCCTGCCTACCCTGTGCCTCTCTCTCTGAACCCCTGACAATGTGAGATGATAATTGGTAAAAGCAAAAATGAATAAAAAAGAATGTAATAGATTTACAGTACATTCTGATTCTTACCATGCTTCTTTTAAAAACAAAACAAAACAAAACTCCTTACTTCTTTACTGAGTAGAGATAAACAACTAATGGCCTGGGAACTCAATCCATGTATTGGGAGTCATTCAAATCTATCATCCTGATGCAAATTCTAAAGCCCACACCTCCATACATTTACTCCATGCACTATGTGAAATCCACTTCCTACACTAAAAATTGTTTGTCTGTGTTACACAGAAAGTGACTTGGAACCAAGCCAGACCTAATTTTGTAAGTTTATCTGTAATAAATTCATTTCATGTTTATTTTAGAAATGGCAAACACAACATGGGGGGGGCAGGTGGTAGTTATGGATTCAGATCTGTTTGCGGTGCTAAGGAATGGGTTTAAAACACCATGCCATTTCACCCAAGTTGCCCCCTCAGAGCTAGTATTTGCCCAGCAGGAAGGGTGGAGGTTGCAGGCACCATGCAGCAAATTAGTTTTCCCCCGCCCCATTTTATTTTATTTTTTACTGTATAGAACCTACAATTCTGAATTTAGGGGAGGGGGATTACTTTGTTGCTGTTATTGATAAACATGGGGAAGTCAGAAATCCTCTCTGATCTACTTAAAATCACCTAGAGCTCATCTAACTTCTGGCCATCCCTGCCATGTGAAGAAAATAGAAGCTTGGGAAGCCATTCAGATTGGTGGGGGGAACAAAGCAGAAAGGGTTAAAAATCCCCTTCAAGCTCTTTCTGACTCCACCCACCCCACCCCTCAGCTGCAAACATGTGATGCCTTATCACTGATCTCCAGACATTGAGTCTAGATTGATATCAGCTGTCTAGCAAGCCTTTGTTCACACTGGTGGGAGGAGTCAAACTGCCACAACTGTGTTGCTAAGGGATAATAATAAAGATTGCTTAAGCACTGATTACTCAGCACTGTCAAGAACTGATCGCAAAGGCCTTGTGTGTTAAAATGTCTGGTTTGTTTTGCACAAAATTGTCAAATGTCATGAATTAAAATAAAGCAAAGGCATTCTAAGGAAAAAAACAAAAAACTGCCAAGAATCAAAAGGCTTTGTTAGTATTGTGAAGAACACAAAATGTTGACCCTGAGAAAACTGGAGCACTCTAGTCTCTCAGCACTCTAGAAATGGCAGTGGCAATGGTAATAGAATGTACAGTGGAATGGATATCTATACACATTACGTGAACTCAGAAATCAGGCCCAGTCTTCACAATGTGCTGCATGTTAGAATGTGGTTCCTCTAGGGAAAACACCATGAAGATGCTATATAAAGTAAAGGGTAAAGGGACCCCTGACCATTAGGTCCAGTTGTGACCGACTCTGGGGTTGCAGTGCTCATCTCGCTTTATTGGCCGAGGGAGCTGGCATACAGCTTCTGGGTCATGTGGCCAGCATGACTAAGCCGCTTCTGGCGAACCAGAGTAGCACATGGAAACGCTGTTTACCTTCCCACCAGAGCGGTACCTATTTATCTACTTGCACTTTGACGTGCTTTCGAACTGCTAGGTTGGCAGGAGCAAGGACCGAGCAACGGGAGCTCACCCCATCACAGGGATTCGAACCGCGACCTTCTGATTGGCAAGTCCTAGGCTCTGTGGTTTAACCCACAGTGCCACCCGCATCCCAAGATGCTATATAGATGGCATCATACCCCCTTGAAACTAGCGAAAATGTATAAAAGATGATCACCGATTTGTTGGAGATGTAAAACAGATGTGGGGTTATTTTAGCATATGTGGTCATTGGGGAATTCTGGGATAACATCTATAATGAATTTAAGAAACTATTCAAACTCACCTTTAAAAAAAACCCAGAGATCTTTCTTTTAGGCATCTTACCATTAGAAATTAAAACCTTCACAAACTAGTTTATAAATTCTTACTGAAGCTACTGATCAGATCTTAGAACATGTCATTGGCCTGGTTGTACGTAACACTAACCCCTTATTAACATCGACCATAGTTAATAAACCATGGTTACAACTGAGGCATCAGGCAGGTAATCAGTTAAATCTTGATTCAATGCATTGTAGAATCATTAAAAGCACAGTGAGAGCAGTTTGAATTTTTTGCAGCACTTCATTGACAACATTGCAACTTTTGGGCGATGGCACTTTAACCATAGCTAAGGAGGGTATCCAGGTTCACATGTAACACTAAGCTATGGTTAACATTAGCTAAGATTTTTAAACTAGCTAGAACATTTAACCATAGTAAATAAACCATAGTTATGGGCTGGGTTGACACATAATGCAGCTAAACCATGGTTTAATAAACCATAGTTTAGTAAGCCATGGTTTAGCATTCTATACAAACTGATATGCTAGGCAGGTTGCTGGAAGTCACAAGGGCTTACTGCCATCAGCAAAGCAAAACATTTCCAAGCAAACTCTGCCAATGAGTAGAGGTAGTCCACATGCTTCAGAACTCCTCTTCTTTTCAGGCTGCATGTTAAAACATACTCACACAATGGCAGTGATCAATCTCAGGATCAATCATGGTTCATCGTGTCAGGAATAAGGCTGTAATACAAAGAAATCCTGTAATCTTAATTTTCAGATGAGGAATTCTCTGACAGTTAACTGAATAGATAATTTGTGCTCAGGCCAAGGAAGTTGGACCATCAACTCCAAATCAGCCTGAGATGACTCTGTCTCTCTAAATAATTATCTTCTTTATGGACACAATCAAGCCCAACCTTATCATTAACTTGTATACATTCCAAGGTGCTAGGGTCGAGAGACAGAACTTGTCTAGGGCCATCTCTTGAGTTCATAGCTAGATAAGGCAACATGAATGAAACTAAAGGCAACATGAATGAAAGGAATGTTTCCATGCTATGTTAACAGGACATGAATGTATCCAGGCCCCATAAAAGTGTGTGTGTGTGTGTGTGCTTACTTATACATATATATTCACTCACACTAAAGTAACTATTGTCTTACTGAATAGGAAACCCTTTTTTAACTGAGAAATTTGGAAAGTATGAAACTGAAGTAGACACAAGCTATTTGTTATTGTTGGTTGTTGTTTTTTTAAAAAACAACTATGAAGAGAGGCCATTTTCAGAAATGATGCTCAAAATAGTTATTTTTATTCAAATCTTTATTGGCATTGACCTACAAAAACTGGCAAGCACTGGAAAATAAAAATAACAAAAAAGTACTATATTCGGCACCTGCTAAAGGTGTTTTTGCTTAGGCTAGCCTATCTAGACATGTAGAAATGGAATGTGTTTTATTTAATATCTTTTTAGTTTACTGCTGATTTAAATTATATTCCATACTTGTTTTTAACTGTCAGTTTTTGGTAATTTTCATGTTTTGTTTACAGAGATTCTATTACAATCAAGTGGTCTTTAAATGTTTCTTTTTAATGTATCTTTACTAAAGATTTTCTTGGTTTACAAAAGTATGTGCAATGTCTCTCTCTCTCTCTCGTTTGTCTTTAAATGTTTTTAGTTAATTAATTATTTTTAAAACCCTCCTAAAACTAGACAAATAGAACAAACCAGCAGCTCTTCCTGCATCCCTAAATCAGACAGGAATAATCCAATGTAGATCAATTGGTGGGGAAAATTCTGTGCAGTGTTTGATCTGGCAAGTAGTTTGAGGAGAAAGGATACACACCTGGTGCTTCAGAGATCTGCCTGCCCTCACTGTAGTCTTCTTCTTATCCTGAATGCAATTGTAGGACAGCCAAGCAGAGCAGTTTCCCAAGTTATCATTCTCTTAGGATTGCTTCACACACTATTTAGATAGACATCTGAATGTTCAGCAAATCCATGGAAATTTCAATTCAGATAGAACTATTCATGACATCATAGCTGTTAACATGGTGATCAAAGTTCTCTGTCAATAGTGTAATCACACTGATGAAGCAATACAGAAGAGTTTAAGTATTAACTGGTCAGGGTGGCAGAATCATTTTGTGTGGATGATTAGAAACTGGTCTAGAGAGCAACAATTTGGAACAAAAATGAGGTTCACATTTAACAAATAAATAATAAGATCCAACCTCCCACTAGCCTACATTTTTAAAAGCTACAATCCTAAAATCATTGAACTTTTCCCCCTTGCAGTTTGCCTTTGTTGTTTTATTACATTTTAATGGATGCTTATTGTTTTGATATATTGATGTAAACCACTTTGTGAGGTTCATTTCAAAAGCAGTACATAAGTAAATGAAATGGGAGGGATTGAGAGGGACGTATTTTTGACTAAAGGGATCTGTCTTGATTTATAATAATTAAAAATCATGATCAACCAAAAATAAAAGAGAACCAAAAACTTCCAAGCAGAGGCGGATTTAGGGCAGCCCAGCCGCTCCCCCCCCCCCCGCTGAGCCTGGAGGGGCCACAGGGGAGCAGAAGGATGAAGGAATGACAGGAGCAGAAGGGAAGGCGAGAGGGGGCAGCCTTCCTCAGAGGCCAGACATGCTAATGCCCTTATCTCGCCTCACGGGTGGGTCCCCCCTGCGGGGTGGGGTGGGGGGGTCATTGTGTGAAGAGGGAGCGAAGAGGAGACCGAGGGGACAGGGGAAGTGAGAAGTGGGGAGCCCAGGGAGAAGGAGGAGGAGGGCGGCCGGTGTGATGCCGCAGGGGAAGGCGTGGCCAAAGGACGCCAAGGCAGGACAGGCGGGGGCGGTTTGGGCGGGAAACGGCGCGCGGCGCCAACCTGGATTCTACGAGGCGAAGCGAGAGGGAGTGGGGGATGGGCGGCCGTTGAGACCAGAAAGAGGAGCGGGAAGGACACACACACACCCCGTTGCCCCTGCAAGACGTTCGTTATAGTGCTGGTGCTGCGGGAACGTAATAAGGGAATAATAATAATAATAATAATAATAATTTATTATTTGTACCCCGCCCATCTGGCTGGGTTTCCCCAGCCACTCTAGGCGGCTTCCATAGAAACCAAAAACACTAAAATATCATACATTAAAAACTTCCCTGAACAGGGCTGCCTTAAGATGTCTTCTGAATGTCAGGTAGTTGTTTATCGTTTTGACATCTGATGGGAGGGCGTTCCACAGGGTGGGCGCCACTACCGAGAAGGCCCTCTGCCTGGTTCCCTGTAGCTTTGCTTCTCGCAATGAGGGAACCACCAGAAGGCCATCGGCGCTGGACCTCAGCGTCCAGACAGAACGATGGGGGTGGAGACGCTCCTTCAGGTATACTGGGCCGAGGCCATTTAGGGCTTTAAAGGTCAACACCAGCACTTTGAATTGTGCTCAGAAACGTACTGGGAGCCAATGTAGGTCTTTCAAGACCGGTGTTATGTGGTCTCGGCGGCCACTCCCAGTCACCAGTCTAGCTGCCGCATTCTGGATTAGCTGTAGTTTCCGAGTCACCTTCAAAGGTAGCCCCACGTAGAGCGCATTGCAGTAGTCCAAGCGGGAGATAACTAGAGCATGCACCACTCTGGCGAGACAGTCCGCGGGCAGGTAGGGTCTCAGCCTGCATACCAGGTGGAGTTGGTAGACAGCTGCCCTGGATACAGAATTGACCTGCGCCTCCATGGACAGCTGTGAGTCCAAAATGACTCCCAGGCTACGCACCTGGTCCTTCAGGGGCACAGTTACCCTATTCAGGACCAGGGAGTCCTCCACACCAGCCCGCCCCCTGTCCCCCAAAAACAGTACTTCTGTCTTGTCATGATTCAACTTCAATCCATTAGCCGCCATCCATCCTCCAACCGCCTCCAGGCACTCACACAGGACCTTCACCGCCTTCACTGGTTCTGATTTGAAAGAGAGGTAGAGCTGGGTATCATCTGCATATTGATGGACACCCAGTCCAAACCCCCTGATGATCTCTCCCAGCGGCTTCATATAGATGTTAAAAAGCATGGGGGAGAGGACGGAACCCTGAGGCACCCCACAAGTGAGGGCCCAAGGGTCTGAACACTCATCCCCCCCCCACCACTTTCTGAACACGGCCCAGGAGGAAGGAGCGAAACCACTGTATAACAGTGCCCCCAGCTCCCAACCCCTCTAGACGGTCCAGAAGGATGTTATGGTCGATTGTATCAAAGGCCGCTGAGAGATCCAGCAGAACAGGGAAACAGCTCTCACCTTTGTCCCTAGCCCGCCGGAGATCATCAACCAGTGCGACCAAGGCAGTTTCAGTCCCATGATGAGGCCTGAACCCTGATTGGAAGGGATCCAAATGGTCCGCATCCTCCAGGCGTGCCTGGAGTTGTTCAGCAACCACACGCTCAATCACCTTGCCCAAGAATGGAAGATTTGAGACTGGGCGATAATTGGCCATACTGGCCGGGTCTAAAGATGGTTTTTTAAGAAGCGGTTTAACGACCGCCTCTTTCAGCGGATCTGGGCATGTTCCCTCACAGAGGGAAGCATTCACCACCCCGCAGAGCCCATCGCCCAGCCCTTCCCGGCTTGCTTTTATTAGCCAGAATGGGCAAGGATCAAGGAGACAGGTAGTTGGTTTCAGGCGTCCAAGCAGCCTGTCCACATCCTCGGAGGTAACGGATTGAAATTGATTCCATGCAACTTGACCAGACAGGGCTCTAGCATTCTCCCGCCCCAGCCCTGCTTCCACGGTGGTGTCTAGCTCCTTCCGAATATGAGTGATTTTATCCGCAAAAAACTTTGCAAAATCGTTGCAGGAGATCTTGGGGTCTTTACAAGGCCCCGGTGGTAAAGGTGGTTCCGTTAAATTGCGGACCACCTGAAAGAGTCTCCTGCTACTATTTTCTGCAGATGCAATAGAGGCGGTGAAGAAAGTATTCTTCGCCATCGCTATCGCCACTTGGTAGGCTCGACGTTGAGCTCTAACCTGTGTCTGGTCAGATTCGGAGTGAGTTTTCTGCCACCGACGCTCTAGCCGTCTCAGCGATTGTTTCATCGCCCTCAGCTCCGAAGAAAACCATGGGGCTGTCCGGGCTCCATGCAATCGGAGAGGGCGCTTCGGAGCCAGACAGTCAATAGCCCTGGTTAACTCCGCATTCCAGCGGGCCACCAGGGAATCAGCTGAAAGGCCATCAACATGGGATAAAGCATCCCCTACCACTCTCTGGAAACCATTTGGATCCATTAAGTGGCGGGGGCGGACCATCCGAATTGGTCCCACCTCCCTGCAGAGGGGAAGGGTCGCGGAGAAGTCCAGTTGCACCAGGAAGTGATCTGACCATGGCACTTCTTTGGTTTCGCTTTTACTTAGTGTCAGATCACCCACGTCACTAGAGGTGAATACCAGGTCTAAGGCATGTCCATGACTATGAGTTGGGCCCAACTTATTCAGGGACAGCCCCATGGAGGCCATGCTTTCCACGAAGTCCCGAGCGGCCCCTTGTAAGGTCGTGTCAGCGTGGATGTTAAAATCCCCTAGGACAACCAAACTAGGTGTCTCCAGGAGAACATCCGCCACGACCTGAAGCAGCTCGGGCAGGGAATCCTTGGTGCAGCGGGGAGGTCGGTACACCAAAAGGAATCCTGTACTGCCCCTATTGCCCAACTTCCAGAACATGCACTCAGAGAACTGGGTCTTCCCAATAGGATGCCTGGTGCAAACTAATGACTTCCTAAAAATCACTGCAACCCCCCCCTCCCCGCCCACAAGGCCTGGGTTGCTGTGTGTAAGAGAAACCTGGTGGACAAGCAGCAGCAAGGACAGGCCCATCTGCTTCCTCCAACCAGGTCTCTGTCACACATGCCAGGTCAAATCCTCCATCCACAATCAAGTCGTGGATGGCAGTGGTTTTATTCATCATTGACCTGGCATTACACAGCAACACCTTCAGGTCATGTGGGTTTCCTGTTGATTCCAGTATCCATCCGGTCAAGGCCAGACCCGGAGGCAGGGATAGTCTTCAAACAACGACTAAACCTGCCTCCTCGGTAATGACATGGTCTGGTCTTAGCGTAACTCCTCCTCCTGCCCATGATCACCGAGATCGGATGTCCCAGTGCTTCCCCCCCTGTGGAACTTGTCCCAGCCATCGTGTTGGCTGGGGCCCCACTCCCAGGCAGCCCTGATCCCGCCCCTTAAAAACAAAACACAAACTATACAGAACCAATAAAACAACAGAAAACAAAAACAGAACAATTATACTAAAATTAATCCCCAACCAAATATGCATCCCACCCACCCACCCCCAACAAAGGAAAAAAGGAAAAAAAGAAATACAAATTTAAATTGCCACCGACTGCTTGAGGACATTTTAAAACACATTAACCACTTGGAACAGGGAAGCAATTGCAGAACACTTCCCAGCTTCCCCAAAAGTTTGTTCCAAATAAGGGCCTGGGCCACGCCCCCTGGGCCAGTTGGAGAAGGCCCTGGAAGGGAGCAGGCCCTGCAGTCCTCACCCAGCCGATGGTCCGAGGCCTCCCCGCAGCAGGAGTCTCTTTACAGCTGGGAAGACAATGTCGAGAGGGAAGCCCTTAAGAGTTATCTCGCAGCCGGTCCCCAGGCGCCACCACAGGGCGCGGCGGCGGCATCTTCCCTCAGGCATGTATATATTTGGCGGCGTATCTGCGTGTTGGCCTGAGGCAGGAAGGGTTCAAATCCCTGCGCGCGCGCACACACACACACACACAACCACACAGCACAATCCCTACACACACACACACACACCCTACTACCAGCCCCGAAGCTCACTTGGGTGCCTTTGCGTCAGTCGCCGCCTCTCTGGCTGGTCTCCCTCACGGGGGTGTCGGGGGCTGAGAGGGAAGAAGGAGGTGGGCCACCTCAAGGTCCCAGGGGGAAAAAGGTGGGGTCCTAGGAGCCAACTCTTGGGCCCATGTCTCTTGCCCCCCCGCCCAATGTTCTATTCAAGTGGGCGCCCCTGGGTGGGATATAAATAGAGAAATAAGCTCGTGGAATTGAAACCCGGTTTCAGAACCATTTGGCTGGAAAGCAAATCCTGAACCGCATAAGCAAAATTGGTCCCTTGTCTGGTTGTCAGTAGCTCAGCAAGGATTAGCTTGGTTTAAGATTAGGGACAAGAGGAAATACTGAATGATGAAGTGATAATTGTGTAGCATTATAAACAGATTGGAATCATGTAAGGCATTGCCAATACTCTCCAATAGCCTCCTCATTTAACCTTTTGAATTCCATGATTTAACCCAATGTCTGAGTCACATCATCAAGCTACAGAGGATTTTGGTTTGGGTGAACTCTTCCTTCGTGGAAGTTGCACGTAAAAGCAGAGAGGGGATCTGGCAGAACCAACCCCTTTCTGTATTCAGGCAACATTTCAAAAAGGGAGTGCATTATGTAGCATGGCAGGCAGGCAGGGCTCAGAAAAATCCATCCCCATAGAATCACATGCACAAAAACACACGTATATATCTATATCCATATATGCTTTATTGTTTTCTGCAAAGAGTACAAAAATGCATTGTGCTTACAACACAATGCATCAAACATTAAAAAACAAAACAAATAAATAGCAAACCAAGAAACCAATAGTATAATAAATAATAATAATAGCAATAATGAACAGTTTATACTTATACCCAAATTAAAATAACCGCCAACCCCAACTAAACATTTAACCCATATCAACCCGACAAAAACAAAAGCAAAATTGAAAACTTTTGAAACATTTCCCCAATTGTTCCAACCCCAGATTTTGACTGCGGCCCTTATTTGAACAAGTGGCCAATTGTTCAGCTTTTATTTCTGATTTCTATATACAAGTGCTCTTAGCTTGCTTGGGCAAAGGGAAGAGAATGCTTCAGTAAAAGGAAAGCCAGATGATGATCCCAGACAAAGGCATTAAAATATCAAACTTTATTGAAAAACTTTAAAATACACAGAATTTAAAAGTTGGGGGGGGATTTATATGGATGGGCAACCCTTGAAAGCGTCGGGAGAAGGGAAGATATTGCTTTGCTGCCGATCTTGCTGCCAATCTTCAGCCAACATTTGCACGGGATATGCAGCTGGATAATTCCCCATTGCATGACTGTTCCCCATTGCAGACCAGGGAGTTTTACTGCTTGATGGAGTGCAGAAGTTACCAGCCGATGGTGGAGGCTGCCTCATCATCTCTGCACCATAATATGGAACTGGGCAGTTCCTTTCCTGGGAAGTCTCAGAAAGCCCAGTTCCACCAACAGCAGCTGGCTGGTAATGAACCGGGTTCAATTCCTGGGAGTTCTGCTGCTGTGCGGCATAGACGGGCTCTCCTGGTTGCGTGGTGCTGAGAGGCGGCTGCCAGAACCCTGCTCCTTCATAGCTTTTGGGATAATGGAAGCTGCGTGGCTGGTATTATTGCTGCGTCGGACTTCTTGCACTGCTCCTCGGAGTGCTTGGACTTCTTCTGTCAGAGCGGTTATAAGGAGTTGTAGCTCAGTTCCTGATCATTGTTTTGGACCTAGTCATCTTTGTTCTCGCTCTTCAGTTCTGAAACCAGGTCCGAACAAAAGCTTTCGGGATAATGGAAGCTGCATGGCTGCTTTTTGGGCTGCTCCCCAGGCTTTTAATGGACTTCTTCTGTCACAGCGGCTATAAGGAGCTGTAGCTCAGTTCCTGATCATTATTTTGGAACCTTTGTTCTCGCTCTTCTGTTCTGAAACCAGGTCTGAACAAAAGAAAGGAGAGAACAAAATGCCCATTATTTCCAAATGGATAGGTCATAATTTCACTTTCTAGCTCAGAGGACCGCCAAATATTTGTGCCTCATGTGGTGTAATTTTTTCAGTGTGGGAGAACTAGGGACTTGCGGGACATTGGCTAGAAAAGCAATGTTGCTTAAGTGTGGTACGAACTGAATGCTGCACATTTGGTCTCTCAATGCAAGGTGCTGAAAGCTGCAATCCTAATAGGAGTATCCTATGCACACTCCCTTGGGAGTTCGGTCAGGTGGGTCAGGTTATAAAGGCAGCCTAGAAAACCAGATGGTTTTATCCTCAAATTAGGTTGAAACCAGGTCTGTTAAGAGTTTTTACTGTTCAAACCCAGAACCTTTGATATTTGAAAGTATGTGCCTCCAATAATTTGAGTGGGAAGGAAAAGGAAGCCTTAATCAGGAACCAGGATTTCTGAACAAGTATGGGCACAATTTCTTTCTGCAGTTGAAAAGGAGGGGACACAACGCACCCGCCCCTTACAAAAAGCCTTTACATCCACGGTACAACAGCCCCCCCCCAATAAAACCCCACAAAAACCCAGGAAAGAGGAAGTTGGCTCTTGAATACGGCACCTTTCACATTAAGCTCGGAGGCATCAGGAAGATCTAACGAAATTGAATGACAACGAAAGAATTATTCTGAGCGATTTAAATTTATCCAGGATTTGCAGTTTAAGGAAGTCCTAGGAACCCCCACTATCCCTCTTCTTACGTGCACACGATCTTCTTCGATTCCGATGCTCCTCGCCAGCGACTCCCTAGTCTCGTATCCGGGGTACAGGTCCTCTTCAAACGACTTTTTTAGAAGCTCGACGTAAGATGGGCTAAAAACAGTCCTTTTTCGCCTTTCTCCTCTGACTTTGGGGTAGCTTCCTCCTGGGAAAAGACAAAGAGGCAGATCTGAAGGAAGCGCTCGGCTTAAACTGAAGCGACGCTTGCAGATCTTCCTCCCGACATGGAAAGCTCGGGGCTGCATCGCCTGCACTTGCCTGGGAGCAAGTCCCCCAGAATCGGGCACTGCCTGAGGTTACACTGCGTAAAATGACCCCCGGTAGAGAATGCTTCACTGGCAATTCTTTCAACCGCCCCGCTGACCACCCAGATGAAACAGAAAACATCTTCCTTCCTACTCATTCCCCTATAAATAATTAGAGCAATGTTGTTGTATTTTATAGACAGTGAATTAATAATCATTTTTTTAAAAGTTTCTTTTACCTTCGTTGTTGGTTGCCATCGTGAAAAAACTCTTTCTCGCTCTCTCCTCAATTGGTTTTGCCTTAAAAATGGACACTAAGATCCCTCAGGTTCACTCTGCTATTCTGCTGGCGGTTCGGTCTTGGCATTTATCTCTAGTGGGCGAACCCCACCCTTACTTCTCAGCCGATAAGAGGGAGTCACGTTTTCTTCTGTTGTTTTGCTAAACTGAGTCAATCCTGGATGGAAACTGAGGCAGTTCTGGCAGAGGAGCAAGCCGGCTTCAGACAGGGCAGAACAACAATAGACCATTGCTTCGTATTAGCACACCTCATTGACAAATACGTCAATAAAACACGTGGGATTCTATACGCAGCATTTATTGACCTGAAGGCGGCCTTTCACTTGATCTCACGAGTCAAACTTTGGGCTAAACTCAATGCTACCAACATTGACAAAAGATTACTATTCTTGATAAAAAGCCTATATAAAGACTCCAAGTTATATGTAAGAACCTCAGTAAATGGGCAACTAATTGGCCCTGTACCAGCCACCAAAGCAGTCGAGCAGGGCTGTATTTTAGCCCCGGCCTTATTCAACTTATATATAAATGACATGGTCAAATACCTAACATCCCCAGAGTTTCATGCCCCCAAACTTGCCAAAAAATCAATTTCAGCGCTCCTCTATGCGGACGATGCGGTTCTCTTATCACGAACTAAAGTAGGCCTCAAAAGGCTACTAAGAGAATTCTCAGCCTACTGTAGGAGAGATCAACTGGTGGTTAATCACCAAAAAACCAAAGTCATGGTCTTCGCTAGGAGACACAGACATCACAGATGGGAGATGGACAATCAGCCAATAGAACAGGTCAAAATTTTCAAATACCTTGGAGTAGTTTCCCAGTCAATATGCTAGGGAAAAAGCATCTCAAAGCGCCAAAATACTGTCACACTTTTACTTTACGAAGGGGGGCAGACACATCTCAGCAGCTCTGGAGGTCTTTCAAGCAAAACCCTTGGCGCAATTACTCTACGGGGCCCAAATCTGGACGGGAAATCATTGCCGCACACTTGAAACGGTCCAGTCTAAATTCTTAAGACAGATTCTAGCCGTTCCACCATGCGCACCAAATGTGGCCCTACGGCTGGAGACTGGCCTCCTCTCCGTTGAAACCCAAACCTGGCTAAGAACATTCAACTATTGGCTTCGCTTAAATTTAAACCCATCCGGACTACTACCTCTAGTAGCACGAGATGCTCATAGAAGTCGGTGGTCCAAAGTAGTGCATCAAAAACTACTTACATGTGGCCTCCAAGCACAGCATCTCCTGAAAATGGGTCTCCCAAGGCAAAAACCATTATTGACCAGCACATGAAGGCTATTGAGCAGCAGAATAATCTGGCCTATATTAAGAAATTTAGTGCTTGGTACGCTTATCTGCCCCCCTCCCACTTTGATTTTCGGGCACCTTATTTGTCTACCTTAACCATTCCAAAACTCAGACGGGCCTTTACACTGGCCAGACTAAATATGTTACCCTCAGCTGTTCTTGAAGGTAGATATCAAAAAATTTCATTTGAGAACCAGCTCTGCCCCTGTGGAGCTGGCTACGTAGAGACTGTGTCACACGTTCTCCTGTCTTGTTCCCTATATAAAGATCTCAGGGACGAGACCATCACGCCGCTCCTATCTGCCATACCGGGCTGCTCTTGCGAAGCCAAATTGTTCTCACTCCTAGCCGACCAGAACAGCTCGACAACAGAGAAGGTTGCCAAATTTATCGAGAGAGCAATGAGACTGAGAGCTGCTATCTGACTGACATGAGTGTCGTCACCCGGATTCCTCGCCTAGGATCTTATCATTATTTTCATTATGTTTTATTACTAGTATTTTATTACGTCTGCCAAGTTTTAAGTACTGAGATTATTGATTTATCTGCATCTGGTTATTATTATCTTTCTCCCTGTCCTGACCATCCCTCCGAGGTTATATTTATATTTATAATCTTTTAATTTGGCTGGTCTATTTACTTAACAGACATGGAACAATGTACCAGAGAAAAGGCCGCCGCCCATGGGACAGAGGGTCATTGATGTATGATAATCCAGCTTCTACCTAGGGTTTTAATAGGTCATAAGATTTTATGGTAACTATATTTGTAATGTATTTTTGTCGGTGTTTGTCCTTTGATGCTATGGCCTGTCGGCTACGCAAATAAAGTCTATTGATTGATTGACTGAGTCAATCCCCTCCCTCCCTCCCCGGCCACCCCTTTGGCAGTTGACTCTTCGGCCGCCAGTAATAACCAATTGACTTTGACCTACTTTAGTCTGTGATTTCCTCCTTAGCCCTTGGTTTTAAGCAGCGGTTCCAACTTTAAACTGCTGTTGATTCCAAGAAACGACAGACTAGGTAACGTCGTTTATTGCATTTTAAATTTTATTCATTGCCTGTGAAAAAGCAATAAAATACATTTTAAAAACCGGCATTGATCTGCTTAATAGTTCGCTGTTGGCACGTTTTGACTTGGAGCATTATCCAATGCAGGCAACTGAAGAGAAGAGAATTCAGAAGTGAGGGGAGAGAGAGAGGACTTTCCGGCGACTGCTACACATTTTCTTTGCCAAGCCACTGCAAGTAACTACAGTGGTGCCTCGCAAGACGAAATTAATTCGTTCCGCGAGTTTTTTCGTCTTGCGGTTCTTTTCGTCTTGCGAAGCATGGTGTCGGAAAAGTTTTGGAAAAGCTTCAAAAATCACCAAAGTCTTCAAAAACCTCAAAAAAGGCTACCACACCGCGTGCTATGAGTTGCTCCTCGAAGTCAAGTCGCAACTGTATTAACGGTTTTAAGAAAAGGAAACAAACTTGCAAGACGTTTCCGTCTTGCGAAGCAAGCCCATAGGGAAAATCGTCTTGCGAAGCAACTAAAAAAACCAAAAACCCTTTCGTTTTGCGAGTTTTCCGTCTTGCGAGGCATTCGTCTTGCGAGGTACCACTGTACCCCAGAACTGAATAAAGTGGGGTGTCCCACACCTGCATCGTACAAAAATCACACTTGCGGTCCAACCAAAGAACACCCCCCCCCCCGCTTTACCAGGTACCACACACTTCCTATCTTAAACGGATACTCTCCTTTTTTAAAAAAAAATATTGTTGTCGTTCTAAAAAGAAGCAAGTGTAAATTATTTCATATTGACAAAGAAGCTTGGAACAACTTAATTCCAATACCCCTCATAGCATCCCCTCTCGTCTAAATAGATTTGTACATCGCCTTGGATGGAGGCAGTGGCAACGGCCAGGAATCGCATCAAATGTGAATAAGACGGTAAATATAACAGCAGTGGCAACCAAAGAAAGAAATCTAAGCTGAGTAAGCAAACTATATTTTATTAATGGACGATTAAATTTGCGTTCATTTTAAGCTAGAAAAAAGCTTACCTTATTTTAAAAACAGTGCATTGGATACGCAAGCGCAGATCTCTTATGAAACCATTTAATCTTAAGATTCTGGGCGCCAAATCCCAGAGGGGCTGCAGACCAGAATTAATCCACATTCTTAAACATTTTAATTCACACCAGTGACTTTGAGACGTGTGACAACCCAGAACAGAAATTCTAATCAAAATCAGATTTTTAAAATGTGGTGATCTGTCAGGGAACAACCCCACTGAAGAAGACAACAGTGGTTAACTAGAACTCATTGGTAGTTGTGAAGGGGCCCCCAGAACAGTTCAACTTCAGGGCCCCCAAAATGTGGGTCTGTCACTGCTTGGGACTGATGTTGGGAGAACTGTAATACGTAGTCATCTGCTGTTGGGTTTTAAAATAGCAATCGAGGGGAGGGGAGGGGAGTAGAGATTCAGAACTATTTGTAGTAGAGGGGGAGGGGGATTATTTTGCGGTTATTGTGTTTATAAATACGGGAGGGGAGGTCAGCAATCCTTTGTGATGTACTGCGAAACACACAGCGTTCTTCGCATCTTCTTCCCACCACTGCCGTGGGAAGGAAACAGCAATTTAGAAAGCAATTAGGACTGGAGGGGGGAGGGGGGAAGGGATTAGTTGCGCCCCCCATCCCACCCTATGCATGCAAGCATGTGATGCGTTATCACAGATCTCCAGTTCAGATAATTCAGAAAAGGGCCGGCAGAGTGAAAAAGTGGAAGGAACAATGAGGAAAGGTTGGAGCATTAGGGATTATTTAGTTTAGAGAAAAGCTGGATAAGAGGTGGCATGACAGAAATTTATAAAATTTTGCATTGCATGGAGAAAGTGGATAGAGAAAAATTTCTCTCCCACTAATCTACACTTTTGAAAGCTACAGTCCTAAAATCATTGAACTTTTCCCCCTTGCACTTTGCCTTCGCCAAAAATAAAAGAGAACCAAAAACATCTTTTGCAACTTATATGGATGGCATCACAGAGAGCATAAAACACCCAAGCTTCAATAAAGAATTAAACCATGTGGGTGAACCAAAAGGTCTTCACTAGATGATTTAGACAAGATAAAGACTCACTGGAAAGGAAAGACTCACTGAGGCGGCTGTTCCATAGCTGGGGTTCTACTGCCAATAAAGCTCTCTCTCCCTGATCGACACCCACTTCATCTCATTTCCGTTTCAAATATTAAAATTGTTATATTACTCAAATAAGTCCCGTTTGACTGCGGGCAATGTGTTAAGCCTGCAGATATCAGAAAAACTGGAGTTGTGTCTTGACATTTCCTTCAAAAGCTCAATGTATATTTTAAAAGAGCAAGCTTCAAATAACCATCTAAGCTCTTTAAATACCCATAACGCTTCCATGCATTAAGATTGCCTAAAGAGTCTTTTCACCATAAGTTATTTTACCAGAAATCATACTTCAATGTGGGTGCTCTTTGGAATGATCTGTAATTAATTAATTAATTAATGAATTAATTAATATGTGTGAGTGTGTCAATCTGCAGGTTGTTAGACAGTAACTTTGAATTAACGCTGGGAGGACGCCTAAGGGGGCATTTTCAATAAGGCTGACCTTTGCTGTAACTCGAGGGGTGTTTCTATTAGGGATTTTGGGTAGGAACCGAGAGCAACCTAACCCCCAACCTTTGAGCTGCGACAGACTTGCATTGCAGGGCTGTTGTGTCAGTCCCTCAAACCCACGGAGAAGGGATTGCATTGGGATTGCATTCTGTTTCAGATAAGAAGTGTGTGCAACCTTGTAAAGGGGGGGGCGTGTTCTTTGGTTGGACCGCAAGTGTGATTTATGTACGATGCAGGTGTGGGACTCGCCACTTTATTCAGTTGTGGCGTAGTTACTTGCACTGCCTTGGCGGTTTAAGGTTGGAACCACTGCTTAAAACCAAGGGCTAAGGACGAAATCACAGACTAAAGTAGGTCAAAGTCAATTGGTTATTACTGTCGGCCGAAGAGTCAACGGCCAAAGGGGTGGCCAGGGAGGGAGGGAGGGGATTGACTCAGTTTAGCAAAACAACTGAAAGAAAAGGTGACTCCCTCTTATTTAGCAGTCTCTGCTGCGGAATGATGCCCTCTCTTCACCACCACTCAACTCTTTCCCTCTTTCAGAGAGATGGATGTGGGAAATAAATCCCGCACCTTCCACTCACAGAGACATCACTTTGATGTTTTTGTATGTGTCGGGTGAAGACATTTAGATTTAGTTTCAGCTTTGTATCTTGTTCTTATTGCAGGTTTTATCCTCCAACCTTAGCTTTTTGATCTCAATTGGGAGTTGTTTTAACCTTGCCTTTTATCTATTGTATTACATTTACCTATCTCTCTAAAGCTGTTCTAGCATGTAGATTCTGTCATTTTGCCTATGTTATACACAGAGTAGCTTGGAATCAGGGGCAGATCTCCTACGAAACCAATGAATTTTAAGATTCTGGGCCAAATACCAGAACATAAGTAAAGGAAATGGTAGGGATTGAGAGGGACGTATTTCTGACTATATGGATCTGTCTTGATTTATAATAATTTAAAATTATGATCAACCAAAGATAAAAGAGAACCAAGAACATATTTTGCAACTTATATGGATGGCATCACAGAGAGTATAAAACACCCAAGCTTCAATAAAGAATTAAACCATGTGGGTGAACCAAAAGGTCTTCACTAGATGATTTAGAGAAGATAAAGAAGGCACCAGGAAAGACTCACTATTCCATAGCTGGGGTTCTACTGCCAATAAAGCTCTCTCTCCCTGATCGACACCCACTTCATCTCATTTCCGTTTCAAATATTAAAATTGTTATATTACTCAAATAAGTCCAGTTTGACTGCGGGCAATGTGTTAAGCCTGAAGATATCAGAAAAACTGGAGTTGTGTCTTGACATTTCCTTCAAAAGCTCAATGTATATTTTAAAAGAGCAAGCTTCAAATAACCATCTAAGCTCTTTAAATACCCATAACGCTTCCATGCATTAAGATTGCCTAAAGATTCTTTTCACCATAAGTTATTTTACCGGAAATCATACTTCAATGTGGGTGCTCTTTGGAACGATCTGTAATTAATTAATATGTGTGAGTGTGTCAATCTGCAGGTTGTTAGACAGCAACTTTGTGGTTTCTGAAGCCCATTGTGAGTAGGTTGTTTTTCACAAAGTGTAGCCTTGTTGAAGAAAAGTATAGTGGAAATTTGATTAAACAAAAGAGTGCTGGAACAGAGACATAGCAGACACACCATTCTTTGAAAGGCTTTATAGTCTAGCTGCAGTTTTCAAACAAATGCCCACCAACAGTCAGCATTTGGACAGCAGACCAAGCAGGCATTCAGGTCACCTAAATACGGTGAGAAGTAGTATATTTCTATTTAAATTACAGTAATTGTTTTTAAGTTGCCGTTGGCCATTTGTTTATTTCATTAAATGTATACACCACTTGATTGTAAAACAAAAAACTGCAACGTGGTTTACTAACAGATAAAATAATAAAATTGAGGGGGGTGGGAATCAACCATACTTCAAAACATACAGATGAATATTACCTACATTAGCACAGACCCATTGAATGATATCTGTGTCCTCGTTTTCGACAGGCTGTGGTGGTCACCATTTACTCTTCCTCCAATGAGTTCTGGGAGGCACCTACTGGGCTATCACTCTAGAAACCTTTTCTCTCACCTAAGGGAATCTAACAGGAGCTGGTAGATGGTTTACTCCTAGGCATGTGCAGAGCGCTCACCCCTCAGCATCTGGCAACCGCCCAGGGAATGCTAGTGCTCAGGGCTTTCCTTATGGAGGAGGGAGAGAAACACCAGCCGAATTCCCAGGGGCAGGTTCAGAAGGAGGCAAAGATGAAAAAGGGGCACAGGCTTCAGGGTGAAATCCTCCCTGGGTTGCATTTGCCTGAGCTGACGTCCCAGCCACCTTGGCCAGACTTACTCCTGCAGGGGGGTCATTTGGTCACCTGAGACGAGTCCCAAAACTGTCCCCCCCCCAGGGAAGAAGGGGAGAATGGAGATTGTTGGGGGATCAAGATCAAATGGCGAAGAAAGGCGGGAAGAGACCAGTGGCGCCTCCTCTTTGCCCCGAGGCTGCTGTAGAGGCAGATTTGGAGTGGGGTAGAAGTGGAAGTGAGGAAGATCCAGCTCCCAAGCAGAGGCGGATTTAGGGCAGCCCAGCCAGTCCCCCCCCCCTGCCCTGGGGCGCTGAGCCTGGAGGGGCCACAGGGGAGCAGAAGGATGAAGGAATGAAAGGAGCAGAAGGGAAGGCGAGAGGGGGCAGCCTTCCTCAGAGGCCAGACATGCTAATGCGCTTATCTCGCCTCACGGGTGGGTCCCCCCTGCGGGGTGGGGTGGGGTGGGGGTCATTGTGTGAAGAGGGAGCGAAGAGGAGACTGAGGGGGGGGGGAGAGAAGCGGGGAGCCCAGGGAGAAGGAGGAAGAGGGCGGCCAAGGCGACGCCGCAGGGGAAGGCGTGGCCAAAGGGCGCCAAGGCAGGACAGGCGGGGGCGCATGCGCGGGGGCGGTTTGGGCGGGAAATGGCGCGCGGCGCTAACCTTGATTCTACGCGGCGAAGCGAGAGGGAGTGGGGGATGGGCGGCCGTTGGGACCAGAAAGAGGAGCGGGAAGGACACACCCCCCCCGTTGCCCCAGCAAGACGTTCGTTATAGCGCTGATGCGGCGGGAACGTAATAAGGGAAGACAATGTCGAGAGGGAAGCCCTTAAGAGATATCTCGTAGCCGCTCCCCAGGCGCCACCACAGGGCGCGGCTATCTTCCCTCAGGCATATACAGTGGTACCTCTAGTTCACAGGCAACCCTCCCATAAAGCTTCTTTGAAGGCAGTAGACCAGAAACCTTGCGGGGGGTGGAATTAACCTGGGGGAAGACCTGACCTTTTATCTTTAGAACCACATGTACCTTACAACTGACTTTTTTCTATGGGAAAATTAAGCCCATGTTTATATGCTTGCACACAGGAAAGTGAATGTTTCAGTAAATGGAAAATTAAATCAAGACTCCAGACAAGCTAGTAAAGGAACAAACTTTATTCAAAATATCAAAGTAATACAATAAAAGGCATTGAAAGAGGGAGCTTGGAAAATATGTACAGGATAGCAAGGAAGGAGTTGGGATGCTAATCTGGAACCTGACTTAAAGAGAAAAACTGAGAGTCCGAAGCACTTCCATCAACATTCTGCATTTGTACAGGATTTGTAGCTGAATAATTCCCCGTTGCAGACCAGGGAGTATAAGTGCTTGATGCCATGAAGAAGTTCCCAGCTGATGGTGGAGGCTGCCTCACCATCTCCGCACCGTAATATGGAACTGGGCAGTTGCTCGCCTGAGAAGTCTCATAAAGCCCAGTTCCACAAAAAGCAGCTTGCTGGTAATAAGCAGGGTTCAATTCCAGGGAGCTCTGCTGTTGCGGGGCAGAGAGGTGCTCTCCTGGTTGCGTGTTGTTGAAAGTTGGCTGCCACAACCCTGCTCCTCCATAGCTTTCAGCATAATGCAAGTTCTGTGGCTGGTAAAATTGTTCCATATGAATATTTTGGAGGTTTCCTGGACTGCTTCTTGGGCTGCTGTCCAGGCTGCTTCTTGGACGGGTTCCTTCACTGTGGCTATAAGGAGCTGCAGCATGGTTCCCGCTCCTTATCCTGGAACCTATCCTCTTTGGTGTTCTGGCTCGTCTATTTTGAAACCAGATCTGAACAGAAGAAAGGAGAGAACCAAATGCCCATTATTTCCAAACGGGTAGGTCATAATTTCACTTTCAGGTACAACAACCAAGCAAAGATTAGTATATGACAGTGGGAGAACCTACGTTAACTTGTTTTGTGTTGTGCGAAAGGCATATAGGCATTATGTTCTGTGAACATAGAAGACATTGTTACCATGAATATGTCTTTTTGATCCAACAGAGAGAATTACATTTAATAAATTATGCTTATTCCTCTGGGGTTTCTCTTTAGTTCTCTGCAGCATTTTTCTACTCTCTTCAGCTCCGCATTCAAATATCCCATGTTCATAATCTCCAGTTACTGTTAATCATAAAGCTTCTAAGTTGGAGTGACTAAATACTGCTATTTGGCTGTATTTTGTTCTGCTGTATCAGAAAAAGCCACCTTTAAAAGCTGCACAAGTGTACAGTTCCACAAGACTTGCTTTATTGAAGTATAACCTGTGGATGTGAGCTTCATCTGCAAGAAATTGTCAAGCATTTGTTAATGCCAAGTGGATGGCTGCATACAAGACTTAACATCTGTGTGCATTTGTGCTGGAAGACAATTGTTTTTAAAATTCCATAAATATAGTAATAGTAATTTTAAATACCTCACTCAGAAGACCTACCCATTTGTTCTGGCCTGTTTGGGGTCAGAATCTCAGAAAACTCAGAATCTGCATTAAATGAATGTGTGCTGTGCATAAATTTACAGGGAAGGAAAAGGAAGCCTTAATCAGGAACCAGGATTTCTGAACAAGTATGGGCACAATTTCTTCCTAAATTTGAAAAGGAGGGAGCACAACCCACCCACCCTTTACAAAAACCCTTTACATCCACGATACACCCCCCCCCCAAAAAAAGCTGAGAGGCACCCGGGAGAACTAAGGCCTTCGACTACGCAAGGATTATTCTGAGCGTTTCAAATTGTTCCAGTATGTGCGGTTTAGGGAAGTCTTGGGAGCCCCCACCATCCCGATTCTTACGTGCACACGATCTTCTTCGACTCCGATGCACCTCGCCAGCGCCTCCCTGGTCTCGTATCCGGGGTACTGGTTCTCTTCAAAGGACTTTTTTAGGAGCTCGACGTGAGATGGGCTAAAAACGGTCCTTTTTCTCCTATCTCCTCCGACTTTGGGGTAGCTTCCTCCTGGGAAAAGACAAAGAGGCAAATCTGAAGGAAGCGCTGGGCAAGCTTAAACTGAAGCGACGCTTGCCGATGTTCCTCCCGACATGGAAAGCTCAGGGCTTAATAATCATTTTTTAAAAAAGTTTCTCTTACCTTCCTTGTTGGTTGCCATCATGAAAAAAACTCCCTCAGGTTCGTTCACTCTGCAGGGGATTCGGTCTGGGCATTTATCTCCGTTGGGCGACCCCACCCTTACTTCTCAACCAATACGAGGGAGTCACCCCACCCTTACTTCTCAACCAATACGAGGGAGTCACCCCACCCTTACTTCTCTACCAATACGAGGTTCCCCGGTTGAGGAATGCCCTCCCAGTCAGCTGCCCCGTCTTCATCATTTTTGCGTTTCACCCTTGCTTCTCAACCAATAGAAACAGTTACATTCCCTTTCAAAAAATCAGTTGCTTTGCCAAACTGGCTCAAACCCCTCCCTCCGTCGACCCCCCTTTGGCAATTGACTCTTCATCTGAATGGAAGAGGAGAGAGAGAGAGAGAGAGAGAGCGAGAGAGAGAGAGAGAGAGAGATCTTTCGGGCGCCTACTACACACCCGCATTGTACAAAAATGACACTTGCGAGGTCCAACCAAAGGAAACCCCCCCCACACACACTTTAGCACACACTTCGTATCTTAAACGGGTACTCTCCTTTTTAAAAAGGTTTTGTTGTTGTTCTAAAAAGAACCAAGTATAATTTTTTTCATATCGACAAAGAAGCTTGGAACAACTTAATTCCAATACCCCTCATTTCAGCCTCTGCCGTCTAAATAAATTAGTACATCGCTTTGGATAGAGGCTCTGGCAACTGCCAGCAATCGTATCAAATGCGAATAATACGGTATACATAAGAGCGGCGGCAACCGAAGAAAGAAATCTAAGCTATGTAAGCAATCTATATTTTATTAACATATGATTAAATTTGCATTCATTTTTCGCTAGTTTTGAAGACTTAGGAAACAGCTTACGTTCTTTTAAAAACGGTGCATTGGATATTCAAGGTCACCCGCCATCTTAGAAGAGGAGTTCCTTGCACCAAGAATGCCTTTTCCAAGCTGGTACCTGCAAGTTAGGATTCGTATGTTAATCTTTTATAAACCCAAAAAAATAAATAAGACGACAGTGCCGTTGTAGTTGGTTTAATTTGCTTTAATTCGATCTGGACGGCCAGCCCATTTAAAGAGGTTCCCCGGTTGCGGAAAGCTCTCTGTCTTCATCATTATTGCGTTTCATTAGGAATTTGAAAATATTCCTGTTTGCTCAGGCATTTGGTGGCTGCAGAATAACGTTCCTGACAACCCCGAGATCAGCGGACAGAAGAATAGTTGAAAAAACAAACCAACAAACCTCCTATAATTACTTTTAGGATTCTTCCTAACTGAAATTGCTTTTAGGTGTTTGCAATTGTTATTTTTTTAATGTTCGAAATGTTTTAGAATGTTTTTGCTTTGTTTTTGTTTTTAAATTGTGTACTGTTTCTGTTTGCCGATGTGGGCACCGAAGGGCGGCGTATAAATTCAGTAAATAAAAACCATAAGAACATATAATTGGGTTTATTTGTAGGAGGACGAGGAAAGGGAAACAAGCAAGCATAGTTGAGGTATCAAATACATAGCTGCGTTTCAACCTATTACTACTTCGTTTATACATTATGTCCCTTTCTCCTCCAAGATTCAAAGATCACAATGTTTCACCGCATAAATTATAATTTGACAAATTTCAAAGCAGAATGTACCACAAAGTAACTTCCTAATATGAACAGTAGCAATGCCAATTTGATATTAGCGCTTTGCTGATGGTTGTTTTAATGAACATTTAAACTTCATGGCTACTGAAACACACGGACCAGGAGGTCAGGTTTCTGTTCGGAAATACGTGTTGGAGTGTTGAATTAACACTGGGAGGACGCCTAATAGGGCAGTTTCAATAAGGCTGACCTTCTATTAGGGATTTTGGGTAGGAAACCGAGAGCAACCTAACCCCCAACCTTTGAGCTGCGACAGACTTGCATTACAGGGCTGTTGTGTCAGTCCCTCAAACCCACGGAGAAGGGATTGCATTGGGATTGCATTCCGTTTCAGATACGAAGTGTGTGCAACCTTGTAAAGGGCGTGTTCTTTGGTTGGACCGCAAGTGTGATTTATGTACGATGCAGGTGTGGGACTCGCCACTTTATTCAGTTGTGGCGTAGTTACTTGCACTGACTTGGCAGTTTAAGGTTGGAACCACTGCTCGAAACGGGCCAACAGCGAAATATTAAGCATATCAACGCCGGTTTTGAAAATGTATTTTATTGCTTTTTCACATGCAGTGAATACAATTTAAAATGCAATAAACGACCTCAGCTAGTCTGTCGTTTCTTGGAATCAACAGCAGTTTAAGGTTGGAGCCATTGCTTAAAACCAAGGGCTAAGGACGAAATCACAGACTAAAGTAGGTCAAAGTCAATTGGTTATTACTGTCGGCCGAAGAGTCAACGGCCAAAGGGGTGGCCAGGGAGGGAGGGAGGGGATTGACTCAGTTTAGCAAAACAACTGAAAGAAAAGGTGACTCCCTCTTATTTAGCAGTCTCTGCTGCGGAATGATGCCCTCTCTTCACCACCACTCAACTCTTTCCCTCTTTCAGAGAGATGGATGTGGGAAATAAATCCTGCACCTTCCACTCACAGAGACATCACTTTGATGTTTTTGTATGTGTCGGGTGAAGACATTTAGATTTAGTTTCAGCTTTGTATCTTGTTCTTATTGCAGGTTTTATCCTCCAACCTTAGCTTTTTGATCTCAATTGGGAGTTGTTTTAATCTTGCCTTTTATCTATTGTATTACATTTATCTATCTCTCTAAAGCTGTTCTAGCATGTAGATTCTGTCATTTTGCCTATGTTATACACAGAGTAGCTTGGAATCAGGGGCAGATCTCCTAATGAATTTTAAGATTCTGGGCGCCAAATCCCAGAACATAAGTAAATGAAATGGTAGGGATTGAGAGGGACGTATTTCTGACTATATGGATCTGTCTTGATTTATAATAATTAAAAATGATGATCAACCAAAGATAAAAGAGAACCAAAAACATCTTTTGCAACTTATATGGATGGCATCACAGAGAGTATAAAACACCCAAGCTTCAATAAAGAATTAAACCATGTGGGTGAACCAAAAGGTCTTCACTAGATGATTTAGAGAAGATAAAGAAGGCACCAGGAAAGACTCACTGAGGAGGCTGTTCCATAGCTGGGGTGTTACTGCCAATAAAGCTCTCTCTCCCTGATCGACACCCACTTCATCTCATTTCCGTTTCAAATATTAAAATTATTATATTACTCAAATAAGTCCAATTTGACTGTGGGCAATGTGTTATGCCTGCAGATATCAGAAAAACTGGAGTTGTGTCTTGACATTTCCTTCAAAAGCTCAATGTATATTTTAAAAGAGCAAGCTTCAAATAACCATCTAAGCTCTTTAAATACCCATAACGCTTCCATGCATTAAGATTGCCTAAAGATTCTTTTCACCATAAGTTATTTTACCGGAAATCATACTTCAATGTGGGTGCTCTTTGGAACGATCTGTAATTAATTAATTAATTAATTAATTAATTTGTGTGAGTGTGACAATCTGCATGTTGTTAGACAGCCACTTTGTGGTTTCTGAAGCCCATTGTGAGTAGGTTGTTTTTCACAAAGTGTAGCCTTGTTGAAGAAAAGTATAGTGGAAATTTGATTAAACAAAAGAGTGCTGGAACAGAGACATAGCAGACACACCATTCTTTGAAAGGCTTTATAGTCTAGCTGCAGTTTTCAAACAAATGCCCACCAACAGTCAGCATTTGGACAGCAGACCAAGCAGGCATTCAGGTCACCTAAATACGGTGAGAAGTATTATATTTCTATTTAAATTACAGTAATTGTTTTTAAGTTGCCTTTGGCCATTTGTTTATTTCATTAAATGTATACACCACTTGATTGTAAAACAAAAAACTGCAACGTGGTTTACTAACAGATAAAATAATAAAATTGAGGGGGGTGGGAATCAACCATACTTCAAAACATACAGATGAATATTACCTACATTAGCACAGACCCATTGAATGATATCTGTGTCCTCGTTTTCGACAGGGCTGTGGTGGTCACCATTTACTCTTCCTCCAATGAGTTCTGGGAGGCACCTACTGGGCTATCACTCTAGAAACCCTTTCTCTCACCTAAGGGAATCTAACAGACGCTGGTAGATGGTTTACTCCTAGGCATGTGCAGAGCGCTCACCCCTCAGCATCTGGCAACCGCCCAGGGAATGCTAGTGCTCAGGGCTTTCCTTATGGAGGAGGGAGAGAAACACCAGCCGAATTCCCAGGGGCAGGTTCAGAAGGAGGCAAAGATGAAAAAGGGGCACAGGCTTCAGGGTGAAATCCTCCCTGGGTTGCATTTGCCTGAGCTGACGTCCCAGCCACCTTGGCCAGACTTACTCCTGCAGGGGGGTCATTTGGTCCCCTGAGACGAGTCCCAAAACTGCCCCCCCCCCAGGGAAGAAGGGGAGAATGGAGATTGTTGGGGGATCAAGATCAAATGGCGAAGAAAGGCGGGAAGAGACCAGTGGCGCCTCCACTTTGCCCCGAAGCTGCTGTAGAGGCAGATTTGGAGTGGGGTAGAAGTGGAAGTGAGGAAGATCCAGCTCCCAAGCAGAGGCGGATTTAGGGCAGCCCAGCCAGTCCCCCCCCCCCCTGCCCTGGGGCGCTGAGCCTGGAGGGGCCACAGGGGAGCAGAAGGATGAAGGAATGAAAGGAGCAGCAGGGAAGGCGAGAGGGGGCAGCCTTCCTCAGAGGCCAGACATGCTAATGCGCTTATCTCGCCTCACGGGTGGGTCCCTCTGCGGGGTGGGGTGAGGGCCATTGTGTGAAGAGGGAGCGAAGAGGAGACCGAGGGGGGAGGGGAGAAGCGGGGAGACCAGGGAGGAGGAGGAGGGCGGCCAAGGCGACGCCGCAGGGGAAGGCGTGGCCAAAAGGCGCCAAGGCAGGACAGGCGGGGGCGCATGCGCGGGGGCGGTTTGAGCGGGAAATGGCGCGCGGCGTCAACACTGATTCTATGAGGCGAAGCGAGAGGGAGTGGGGGATGGGCGGCCGTTGGGACCAGAAAGAGGAGCGGGAAGGACACCCCCGCCCCCTCCCGTTGCCCCAGCAAGACGTTCGTTAAAGCGCTGATGCGGCGGGAACGTAATAAGGGAAGACAGTGTCGAGAGGGCAGCCCTTCAGAGTTATCTCGTAGCCGCTCCCCAGGCGCCACCACAGGGCGCGGCTATCTTCCCTCAGGCATATACAGTGGTACCTCTAGTTCACAGGCAACCCTCCCATAAAGCTTCTTTGAAGGCAGTAGACCACAAACCTTGGGGTGGGGGGAATTAACCTGGGGGAAGACCTGACCTTTTATCTCTAGAACCACATGTACCTCACAACTGACTTTTTTCTATGGGAAAATTAAGCCCATGTTTATATGCTTGCACACAGGAAAGTGAATGTTTCAGTAAATGGAGAATTAAATCAAGACTCCAGACAAGCTAGTAAAGGAACAAACTTTATTCAAAATATCAAAGTAATACAATAAAAGGCATTAAAAGAGGGAGCTTGGAAAATATGTACAGGATAGCAAGGAAGGAGTTGGGATGCTAATCTGGAACCTGACTTAAAGAGAAAAACTGAGAGTCCGAAACACTTCCATCAACGTTCTGCATTTGTACAGGATTTGTAGCTGAATAATTCCCCGTTGCAGACCAGGGAGTATAACTGCTTGATGCCATGAAGAAGTTCCCAGCTGATGGTGGAGGCTGCCTCACCATCTCCGCACCGTAATATGGAACTGGGCAGTTGCTCGCCTGGGAAGCCTCATAAAGCCCAGTTCCACAAAAAGCAGCTTGCTGGTAATAAGCAGGGTTCAATTCCAGGGAGCTCTGCTGTTGCGGGGCAGAGAGGTGCTCTCCTGGTTGCGTGTTGTTGAGAGGTGGCTGCCACAACCCTGCTCCTCCATAGCTTTCAGCATAATGCAAGTTCTGTGGCTGGTAATATTGTTCCGTGTGAATATTTTGGAGGTTTCCTGGACTGCTTCTTGGGCTGCTGTCCAGGCTGCTTCTTGGACGGGTTCCTTCACTGTGGCTATAAGGAGCTGCAGCATGGTTCCCGATCCTTATCCTGGAACCAATCCTCTTTGGTGTTCTGGCTCGTCTATTTTGAAACCAGATCTGAACAGAAGAAAGGAGAGAACCAAATGCCCATTATTTCCAAACGGGTAGGTCATAATTTCACTTTCAGGTACAACAACCAAGCAAAGATTAGTATATGACAGTGGGAGAACCTACGTTAACTTGTTTTGTGTTGTGCGAAAGGCATATAGGCATTATGTTCTGTGAATATAGAAGACATTGTTACCATGAATATGTCTTTTTGATCCAACAGAGAATTACATTTAATAAATTATGCTTATTCCTCTGGGGTTTCTCTTTAGTTATCTGCAGCATTTTTCTACTATCTTCAGCTCCGCATTCAAATATCCCATGTTCATAATCTCCAGTTACTGTTAATTATAAAGCTTTTACATCCACGATACACCCTCCCCCCCAAAAAAAACCAAGAAAGAGGAAGTTAGCTCTTGAACAAGGCGCCTTTCGCGATAAGCTGAGAGGCACACGGGTGAACCAACTACGCAAGGATTATGCGGAGCGCTTCAAATTGTTCCAGTATGTGCGGTTTAGAGAAGTCTTGGGAGCCCCCACCATCCCGATTCTTACGTGCACACGATCTTCTTCGACTACCGATGCACCTCGCCAGCGCCTCCCTGGTCTCGTATCCGGGGTACTGGTTCTCTTCCAACTCCTTCTTTAAGAGCTCGATTTGGGCATGGGCTGAAAACGGTCCTTTTTCTTCTGTCTCCTCCGACTTTGGGGTAGCTTCCTCCTGGGAAAAGACAAAGAGGCAAATCTGAAGGAAGCGCTGGGCTAAGCTTGAAGCTGAAGCTTGCCGATCGTTCCTCACGACATGGAGCCCGGGGCTGCATAGCCTGCCTTCCCAGAATCGGGCGCTGCCTGAGGTTACACTGCGTAAAACGACCCCCGGCTTCAGTGGCAATTCTTTCAAGCGCCCCGCTGACCACCCACCCGGCCGAGCGCAGAAGGGCAAAGCCTTCGCTTTTTACAGGACATTGATTTCCACGCACTTTGTGGCCTTTAAATAAACCTCCGGTTGCTCGGAACAAGGCTTGAATGAAAACAAACCATAGAATTTTTGGTAATACGTTTACGCTCTTATTTCTATGCCTGCCATCGTTTTCCGCAGCTGATCCTAACCACGTTTATTAGGAAATTTAATCCCGTTTATGTGAAAGGGATTTAACAGTCAGAAAGTGTGTGTGTAAATGCTTCATGCAGTAAAATGCAGTAAATGCTTCCTGCTTACAAGTAAAATATGTGCAAACCAATCTTGCGAAATGTTTCCAACCGAAGACATTTGAGCCCCTGTGTAATCCCTCCCTGGCTACCACAAATGGGTCTTTGAAAGCCTTCCCTACACCCCGATCCTGATCCTGACCCAGAAACAAAAACACCCTTCATTTATAAAAACCGTTGAATTTATAACCCTTAATTTATATCATTCATTTGAGCAATTTTTTAAAGACAAGTGAACTAAAAATCGTTTTAACAATCCTCTATTCTTACCTTGGCTGTTGGTAGTTTTCATCTTGCAAAAGCGCTGCCTCGCTCTCTTCCAACAAACTTGGTTTTCGCTTGCAAAGTGCCCTTGCTCCTCAAGGCCCGCTTCAGGTTTCTGGAGTTCGGCGCCTTTATAGCCCCTCCTGGCTGCCAATTGGCCGGCGCGTTTTCCTTGGAGAGAAGCGCTCCAATGGGGAGGCGGCTTTTGGGGAGGAGCGAGTTTCAAGTTCACTTTTCAAGCGCTGCTTGACCAATCTAGATGGGCTGGAGCGCACCCTTCCCTTAGCATCACCCCTTAGCAAAACTGGAAAATAGCCCCATAGGCTTTGAGATTAGTGCGCACAGTTGAAGAGAAGGGAATTGAGAGGATGGGTTGGGGAGCGAGAGAGCCAGACACAACTGTGGTTTATTTAAAAAAAAATATTATAATGAGGCTTTCATTGTACAGACAGAGATGCGCCAAAACTTAGGCATGTTGAAAGGCTTTGCCCAAGAAGCCTAGATGCAACAAGTACACTCTGAAACCCCTGCCTTTTGAGATGAAGAAGGCGCCTTCACTGCACCCTTTTCGGCGCCTGCTATAAACTTTGTTTCCTTTCCTTTACCTGCAAAAAGTTGCTATGCCTTTTAATCGGTGGTTTTTGCTTAACTGTAATTGCATTTTGCGTGTTTTTCACTTTGACTTTTATCGATAATGTTGCATTCTGAGTGAAAGCGAGCTTTCCGTTTCCTAGGCTTGCTTCAAACGTTGCTGCTGCTTCCTTTCTTTTTCACTTCCACTATTTCTCTTTCTGTCTTTCTATCCCCACAGCTTACACGTGGCCATATTCCTCTACCTTTCAGGGACTTGCGGCATCCAAATAGCCTGCCGCTCCACCCTACACCCGAGGCAAGATAGTTGCCTCCGATCCTCAGAGGAACTGAAAACGTGCTGAAACCTAGAGTGATGTTGGATTGAAAATAAGTGGTTTCCAGCTGTACAGGTTAAAGTTAAGGATAGATTAAGATTAAAGATCAAGATTAAAGATGTTTAAAGAAATGGAAATTTGATAATAAAAGGGAAAAATTTATAGGTATAAGACATTAAGAACAAGGATTAGGTTTAAAAAAGTTGAAGTTATATATTTTAATATTTTATTAAATTAAAGATTGGGTTTAAAAAAGTGGAAAAGAAACTGCGGGACAAATAATGCAGATTGGAATACAAAAGAGGGAGGTATGAGGAAGTCCAGAAAATAAGTAATTTAAAATTGGGGATGGAAAAGAGAGTTTGTTTTTAATTGTTATGTTTTGTGTTTTTATTGTTAAATTTTGTATTGTTTTTCTTTTTCCTTGTTTAAAACCTTAATAAAAAATTATTTAAAAAAAAAATAATGAAAACGTTCTGAAACCTTCCAGCTCATACAATGCATGTTCCCAGTCCCTGGCAGTTTGTTAATCAAGAACGGTTCCCTGTTGGTACATTCTTTGTTATTTTTGCCTAAGAAAATTAACACAAGGGACCCTCCCTAAGTGTACCTATAAACCCTAATCATAGGTATGCTGACGCAGAATCGGCAAGGAAACTTTTTTTCGAGTAAGAACTACATTTTTTGTGGTGAGCTATGGGAAATTCAATATATTTTTCAAAATGTTTTTTTTAAAAAAAAAGTATTTGCAGAGTTTTTTTTATGTGTAGATTCCACCCAGGGCAGCAGATAACGCTGCAGTCTTTCCTCATCCACACCAGATGACACACCACCTAGTACCTTTCCTTTCACAAAGATTTAGCAGTCTCTCCTGCGTAATGATGCCCTCTGCTCTCCACCACTCAACTCTTTCCCTCATTCAGAGAGATGGATGTGGGGAAATAAATCCCGCACCTTCCACTCCCAGAGAGGCTTGCCTGGCATCACTTTGATGGTTTTGTATGTGTCAGGTGACATTTAGATCTAGTTGCAGCTGGTTGTCCTTATTGCAGGTTTTATCCTCCAACCTTAGCTTTTTGATCTCAATTGGGTGTTGTTTTAATCTTGCCTTTTATCTATTGTATTGCATTTATCTCTCTCTCCAGAGCTGTTCTAGCATCTAGATTATGGCATTTTGCCTATGTTATACAGAGAGCAGCTTTGAATCAGGGGCAGATCTCCTGCAAAACCAATGAATCTTAAGATTCTGGGCACCTAATCTCAGAGGGATTTAGTCCACATGCGTAAACATTTTTATTCACAGCAGTGTCTTTGACACGTGAGACAACCCAGAACAGAAATTCTAATCAAAATCAGATTTTATAAATGTGGTGATCTGTTGAAGACGACAACAGTGGTTACCCAGAACTGATTGCTAGTTGTGAAGGGGCCCCCAGAACAGCTCAAGCTACAGGGCCCCTAAAATGTATGTCTGTCACTGCTTGGGACTGATGTTGGGATAACTGTAACTGATGTTGGGAGAACTGATGTGCATTGCCATTCAAATGGTGTGTATGTGCCGTTCCATGTGACAAATTATGTGGGATGGGGCTTTCCTGGGACCCCCCCTATTTTATTCAAGCTGGCACCCCTGATAATGGGTGTCCCCCCTTTGCCTGGCCTCACTTTAATATTTTTGTATGTGTCAGGTGAAGACATTTAGATTTAGTTTCAGCTTTGGATCTTGTTCTTATTGCAGGTTTTATCCTCCAGTCTTAGCTTTTTTATCTCAATTGGGAGTTTTAATCTTGCCTTTTATCTATTGTATTACATTTACCTATCTCTCTAGAGCTGTTCTAGCATCTAGATTCTGGCATTTTGCCAATGTTGTTCAGAGAGCAGCTTGGAATCAGGGGCAGATCTCCCACGAAACCAATGAATCTTAAGATTCTGGGCGCCAAATCCCAGAGGGGCCCCTGACCTGAATTTAGTCCACATTCTTAAACATTTATATTCACACCAGAGACTTTGACACATGTGACAACCCAGAGCAGAAATTCTAATCAAAATCTGATTTTTTAAATGTGGTGATCTGTCAGGGAACAACCCCATTGAAGACGACAACAGTGGTTACCCAGAACTGATTGCTAGTTGTGAAGGGGCCCCCAGAACAGCTCAAGTTCAGGACCCCCAAAATGTAGGTCTGTCACTGCTTGGGACTGATGTTGGGAGAACTGTAATAGTCATCTGTTGTTGGGTTTGAAAACAGCAAACGAGGGGAGGGGAGTAGAGATTCAGAACTATTTGTGGCACTGGGGAAGAGGTGTAAATACCATGCTATTTTACCCATCAGAGCTAATATTTGCCCAATAAGGGGGTTGGAAGTCACAGGCACCATGCAGCAAGAGATTTGCTTCCCTCACTTTAACTAGAACCTAGGATCCAGCAATAAAGAGCTTAGTACAAAAGCCATACACTTAGAATACAAGAATTATGAGCCCAAGAACTTGCTTTGAGAATCAGAATTAATGGGAGCTCACAGGCTTTCCACACGTAAATCTGTTCCTGGTTAACTCAAGTATTCTTCATCTCAGCAGTATAATGGAGAGGGGGAGGGGGATTATTTTGCAGTTACTGTATTTATAAACACGGGGAGGTGAGGTCAGCAATCCTTTGTGATCTACTGCAAAACACCCAGCGTTCTTCCCACCTTCTTCCCACCACTGCCATGCAAAGGAAACAGCAATTTAGAAAGCAATTAGGACTGGGGGGGGGGGGGAGCGGGAAAGGGATTAATTGCTCCCCCCATCCCACCCTATGCATACAAGCAGGTGATGCGTTATCACAGATCTCCAGTTCAGATAATTCAGAAAAGGGCCGGCAGAGTGATCAAGTGGATGGAACAATGAGGAAAGCTTGGAGCATTGGGGACTTTTTGGTTTAGAGAAAAGTTGGATAAGACGTGGCATGACAGAAATTTATAAAATTTTGCATTGCATGGAGAAAGGGGATAGAGAAAAATATCTCCCACTAAACTACACTTTTAAAAGCTACAATCCTAAAATCGTTGAACTTTTCCCCCTTGCAGTTTGCCTTTGCTGTTTTCTTACATTTTAAATGGATGCTCATTGTTTTGATATATTGATGTAAACCACTTTGTGAGGTTCATTTCAAAAGCAGTACATAAGTAAATGAAATGGGAGGGATTGAGAGGGACGTATTTCTGACTAAATGGATCTGTCTTGATTTATAATAATAAAAAATCATGATCAACCAAAAACAAAAGAGAACAAAGAACTTCAAAGCAGAGGCGGATTTAGGGCAACACAGCCGTCGTCCCCCCGCCCCGCACTGAGCCTGGAGGGGCCACAGGGGAGCAGAAGGATGAAGGAATGAAAGGAGCAGCAGGGAAGGCGAGAGGGGGCAGCCTTCCTCAGAGGCCAGACATGCTAATGCGCTTATCTCGCCTCCCGGGTGGGTCACCCCTGCGGGGTGGGGTGGGGGGGTCATTGTGTGAAGAGGGAGCGAAGAGGAGACCGAGGGGACGGGGGGGGGAAGCGGGGAGACCAGGGAGGAGGAGGAGGAGGGCGGCCGGTGTGATGCCGCAGGGGAAGGCGTGGCCAAAGGACGCCAAGGCAGGACAGGCGGGGGCGCATGCGCGGGGGCGGTTTGGGCGGGAAACGGCGCGCGGCGCCCACCTGGATTCTATGAGGCGAAGCGAGAGGGAGTGGGGGAGGGGCGGCCGTTGGGACCAGAAAGAGGAGCGGGAAGGACACCCCCGCCCCCCCCGTTGCCCCAGCAAGACGTTCGTTAAAGCGCTGATGCGGCGGGAACGTAATAAGGGAAGACTGTGTCGAGAGGGAAGCCCTTCAGAGTTATCTCGTTGCCGGTCCCCAGGCATGTATATATTTGGCGGCGTATCTGCTTATTGGTCTGAGGCAGGCAGGGTTCAAATCACTCCACACACAGACAGACACACACCCCACAAACCCTGCACACACACACAAAGTGTGTACTGCCGATCTGGGCTCCGAGTACAAATTCCGTAAATAAAAACCATGAGAACATAGCAACCCGGAACATTGAATTGGGTTTATTTGTAGGAGGACGAGGATAGGAAAACCAGCAAACAAAGTTTAGGAATCAAATACATAGCTGCGTTGCAACATATTACTACGTAGTTCGTTTATACATTATGTCCCTTTCTCCTCCAAGGTTCAAAGATCACAATGTTTCACCACGTAACTTGTAACTTGGCAACTTTCCAAGCACAATGTACCACAAAGCAACTTCCTAATATGAACAGCAGCAATGTCAATGTGAGATTGGCCCTGTGCTGGTGGTTGTTTTAATGAACAGTTAAACTTCATGGCTACTGAAACACACGGAGCAGGAGGTCAAGTTTCTGCTCGGAAATACGTGTTGAATTAACAGCGCAAATCGTGACATCTCAAAGCTACCGAATTTATTGTGGCATATACTTTCGTGAACGAAGGTCTACTCTATCCGATAAAGTTTCCCAGTTCCTGAGGAAGAGGACAGTGAGCAGGGGAGATGTGTGTCTCAGATGTTTTGGGGTGCCAGTGGAAGTCCTCAATCACACCATTGCACCCCCAGTCCCCGTTTTGGTAACCCTCTTGGGAAGACCATATATTTGTCCCATTTTGAGATATGAAACTAATACTGAGGATGACGTGACTTGGATATCACCTTTATTGTGAGCTTTTTATTTATTTATTGTGGGAACACACAGGACTGTAAAGTGAGATAAAAGTACGATTCTCAAAAATGGAATATTAATGTCCCTAGCCAAGGCCAAATTGTCTGGAAATTTTTACTATCAAGTATAAATGGTCTGGAATCCACTTCACATACCATCATAAACAGACATACTTGGATTCCAAGGCTGATGAATCAAAAATAAAAGGCTACTTCACAGCTAATACATGCCGCAATCCCTAGATTTTAATGTTACAGGCGCTTCAGGTTATAGACTCCGCTAATGCGAATAAAGTTTTATCTATCTATCTATCAGTCTTGTGAACTGTCCTGAGATACTGTGATGAAGGGTGGAATCTAAATCAAGCAAGCAAGCAAGCAAGCAAACAAACAAACAAACAAACAGAAAGTTATATAGCAGACAAATAAGTCTTATACTTTTAACTCTATAAAAATCACACAACAGTAACCCATGTGGTACAGTTTGCAGCTTTTCACCAGCACAAAATACACAATATTGGGAATGCTGTTAACAGAGCAACCTTAACCATGCCTACTCAGAAGTAGGTCCTAAGTCCCAAGTAAGTTAGGCTAGCACAGCATCCTAAATCTCCCTTCCAAAATGAGAGAATTTTGAAGCAAATTAGTTTGGACACATTTCTATATTCTGGAACGAATAAGACACCCCTTATACAGGTAGATGTTCCACCGCTATGATGAAGAATATATTGAGATAGATTGCAACGTATTGTATCCCAAAGGATACAAGTAAATGTTTTCCAGGAAATTCTGCTAGTCCCTACTGTAAGTACCTTACAGGAATACATATTTAAATCAGTTGCCTTCTGCAGAAATATATCGAGCTTCTAAGCGATGATGATGGCAGAAATTAGAGACATTTCATCGCGTCTCTCCCACCCCCATTGTGAGCCCTCTTTTGTTCAGGGATAATCTTTCCTGAGACAGTACTGATATGTTTGCTGAGGTTTCCACATCTTTCTGCAACACCCCCAACCTTCACGGAAGCTTTTTTTCAGTAGTAAAAAATGTAGTTCTTACTCGAAAAAAAGTTTCATTGCCGATTCTGAGTCAGCATACCTATGAATAGAGTTTATAGGTACACTTAGGGAGGGTCCCTTGTGTTAATTATCTTATGCAAAAATAACAAAGAATGTACCAACGGGGAAACATTATTGATTAACAAACTGCCAGGGACTGGGAACATTCATTGTGTGAGTTGGAAGGTTTCAGAACGTTTTCAGTTCCTTTGAGGATCGGAGGCAACTATCCTGCCTCGGGTGTAGGGTGGAGCGGCAGGCTATTTGGATGCCGCAAATCCCTGAAAGGCAGAGGAATATGGCCACGTGAAAGCTGTGGGGATAGAAAGACAGAAAGAGAAATAGTGGAAGTGAAAAACAAAGGAAGCACCAGCAACGTTTGAAGCAAGCCCAGGAAACGGAAAGCCCGTTAGGAATACAAGTGAACAGCACAAGCAACGCTGACACCAAACCCTACATAAATTAAGCATAATAGAAACATCGCCACCCACCCCCGCCCCCACCCCCACGCATATCCCCACCCTCCACCCCTTTTTTTCTCCCCCTAATGTCTCAACAAATGAAACGGATTTGTAAAAATGTTACATGTAAAAAATACGAGAGACATTACACATACTTCTGTAACACAAGAAAATCTTTAATAAAAGAAGAAGAAGAAAGAAAGAGAATGCAACCCCCTTGCAGTTACCCGCGACAGTGCCCTGAGACTGTGTAGATTCAGGATTTGGTTGCGACGCCTGTCCTGGGCTGAATACTCTGAGCATCTAACATCAACCGCTTGGGCTTGAAAGACCTACTGACTTCTTGGCAAGAGGAGTTTGCCTTCCCTTTATTTGCAGTGGTGTTACTCACATTCTTCCCTTCAAGTTTTTGCACCGCCTAACCTTAACGAAAACCTCTAAGCGGCTTACGAAAGCATGAACATGATCGATAAAAGTCAAAGTGAAAAACATGCAAAATACAATTACAGTTAAGCTAAAACCACCGATTAAAAGACAATGCAACTTTTTGCAGGCAAAGTAAAGGAAACAAAGTTTATAGCAGGCGCCGAAAAGGGTGCAGTGAAGGCGCCTGCTTCGTCTCAAAAGGCAGGGGGTTTCAGAGTGTACTTGCTGCATCTAGGCTTCTTGGGCAAAGCCTTTCAACATGCCTAAGTCTTGGCGCATCTCTTTCTGTAAAATGAAAGCCTCATAATAATATTTTTAAAAAATAAACCACAGTTCTGTCTGGTTCTCTCGCTGCCCAACCCGTCTTTTCAATTCCCTTCTCTTCAACTGTGGGCACTAATTCTCCCCGCCTATGGGGCTATTTTCCAGTTTTGCTAAGGGGTGATGCTAAGGGAAGGGTGCGCTCCAGCCCATCTAGATTGGTCAAGCAGCGCTTGAAAAGTGAACTTGAATCTCGCTCCTCCCCAAAAGCCGCCTCCCCATTGGAGCGCTTCTCTCCAAGGAAAACGCGCCGGCCAATTGGCAGCCAGGAGGGGCTATAAAGGCGCCGAACTCCAGAAACCTGGAGCGGGCCTTGAGGAGCAAGGGCAATTTTGGAAGCGAAAAGCAGCTTTATTGGAAGAGAGCGAGGCAGCGCTTTTGCAAGATGAAAACTACCAACAGCCAAGGTAAGAATAGAGGATTGTTAAAACGATTTTTAGTTCACTTGTCTTTAAAAAATTGCTCAAATGAATGATATAAATTAAGGGTTATAAATTCAACGGTTTTTATAAATGGAGGGTGTTTTTGTTTCTGGGTCAGGATCAGGGTGTAGAGACGGCTTTCAAAGACCCATTTGTGGTAGCCGGGGAGGGATTACACAGGGGCTCAAATGTCTTCGGTTGGAAACATTTCGCAAGATTGGTTTGCACCTCTTTCCTTATAAGCATGAAGCATTTAGTGCATTTTACTGCATGAAGCATTTACACACACACTTTCTGATTGTTAAATCCCTTTCACATAAACGGGATTAAATTTCCCAATAATCGTGGTTAGGATCGGCTGCGGAAAACGATGGCAGGCATAGAAATAAGAACGTAAACTTCTTACTTAAAATTCTTTGGTTTGTTTTCATGCAAGCCTTGTTCAGAGCAACCGGAGGTTTATTTAAAATTAGTGTCCATTGTTAAGGCAAAACCAATTCAGGGAGGAAGATCTGCAAGCGTCTCTTCAGTTTATGCCGAGCGCTTCCTTCAGATTTGCCTCTTTGTCTTTTCCCAGGAGGAAGCTACCCCAAAGTCGGAGGAGAAAGGCGAAAAGGACTGTTTTTAGCCCATCTCACGTCGAGCTCCTAAAAAAGTCCTTTGCAGAGAACCAGTACCCCGGATACGAGACCAGGGAGGCGCTGGCGAGGTGCATCGGAGTCGAAGAAGATCGTGTGCACGTAAGAATCGGGATGGTGGGGGCTTCCAAGACTTCCCTAAACCGCACATACTGGAAGAATTTGAAACGCTCAGAATAATCCTTGCGTAGTCGAAGGCCTTAGTTCACCCGGGTGCCTCTCAGTTTATCGCGAAAGGCGCCTTGTTCAAGAGCTAACTTCCTCTTTCTTGGTTCTTTTTTGGGGGGGGCGTATCGTGGGTTCTGGGTTTAAATCATTTTTTAAAAATCTTCAGAGACCCAGTTTAGAAATCTAATTTCTGCAATGGATGGGCTTAGTGCTAAAAGTACATTAAATCTGGTTTTAAAGGCTGCCTTTGCAGCCTGATCCAGTTAACACTAACTCCCAAGGTAATGTGCAGAGGACTGCAGCCATAAGCAGCTTGCACTAGGGAGACTAAAACGAGTTAAGCTACATTGCTTTTTCTGGCAAAAGTTGAGCAAGTACTTAGTTCTCTCCTACAGAGAAATTGGCATTTACACACACACACACACACACACACACACACACATATATATATATATATATATATATATATACCCTTCCCTGCCTAGTCCATTACCCCCAGGACACTTGGGAGGCTGAGGCAGAAGACCCCAAACAGGGCACAACAAATAGGTAGGTCTTCTGAGTGAGCTATTTAAAATTACTGTTGCTAAGTTTATTGAATTTTTAAAACAATTGCCAGGCATAAAGTGTTGCCTTCCAGCACAAATGCACACAAAGATGTTAAGTCTTGTATGCAGGCATCCACTTGGCATTAACAAACGCTTGACAATTTATTACAGTTGAAGCTCACATCCACAGGTTATACTTCAATAAAGCAAGTCTTGTGGGACTGTACACTTGTGCAGCTTTTAAAGGTGGCTTTTTCTGATACTGCAGAACAAAATACAGCCAAATAGCAGTATTTAGTCATTCCAACTTAGAAGCTTTATAACTTAACTGTTAACTGGAGATTATGTACATGGGATATATGAATGTGGAGCTGAAGAGAGTAGAAAAATGCTGCAGAGAACTAAAGAGAAACTCTAGAGGAATAAGCATAATTTATTAAATGTAATTCTCTCTGTTGGATCAAAAAGACATATTCATGGTAACAATGTCTTCTATACTGGTTCTCTCCTTTCTTCTATTCAGGTCTGGTTTCAAAACAGAAGGGCGAGAACGCCAAAGAGGATAGGTTCCAGGATGAGCAGCGGGAACCATGCTGCAGCTCCTTATAGCCACAGTGAGAGAACCCGTCCAAGAAGCAGCCTGGACAGCAGCCCAAGAAGCAGTCCAGGAAACAGGAAAAATATTCATATAGAACAATTTTATCAGCCACACAACTTGCATTATGCTGAAAGCAATAGAGGAGCAGGGTTGTGGCAGCCACCTCTCAACAGCACGCAACCAGGAGAGTGTGCCCCGCAACAGCAGAGCTCCCTGGAATTGAACCCTGCTTATTACCAGCAAGCTGCTTTTTGTGGAACTGGGCTTTCTGAGACTTCCCAGGCGAGCAACTGCCCAGTTCCATATTACGGTGCGGAGATGGTGAGGCAGCCTCCACCATCAGCTGGGAACTTCTTCATGGCATCAAGCAGTTATACTCCCTGGTCTGCAACGGGAATTATTCAGCTACAAATCCTGGACAAATGCAGAATGTTGATGGAAGTGCTTCGGACTCTCAGTTTTTTTCTTTAAGTCAGGTTCCAGATTAGCATCCCAACTCCTTCCTTGCTATCCTGTACATATTTTCCAAGCTCCCTCTTTTAATGCCTTTTAATGTATGACTTCGATGTTTTGAATAAAGTTTGTTCTTTTAATAGCTTGTCTGGAGTCTTCTTTTAACTTTCCATTTACTGAAACATTCACTTTCCTGTGTTCAAGCTTAATTTTCCCATAGAAAAAAGTCAGTTGTGCGGTACATGTGGTTCTAGAGATAAAAGGTCAGGTCTACTAATGGCTGAATATTCCTGAGACACATTTTAATGCACCAATGGCTTTCTGTCCCTTTCCTTTTCTTTTTAAATCTCTGTATCTGAGGCTTGAGTAGGTGGCAATAAATGTGGTGGGAAGTTGCTGTATTTTCTTTGTGTGCAAAAGTATATTTGTAGATCCTGCTATAAGCAGATTTAGTAACACTTTTCTGTGGTAATAAGTTTGGTTTCCATTAATGAGTTCCATTTTTTAAAACACAGAAGTTTGAGATGGGGATATAAGGTTTAATTGATTTTTCTACCATGAGTGTGTTAAGGTGCTCTCCAAAGCTTTAAAGACATATAAGTTTAACTTGTATGTGCCTTAGCCTGCAACATGGGCATTTATATCTATTAAAAACTTTGTGGGGGGATATTTTGAACACTTTATTTCATTTTCTTGCCCTTATTCCCCCCCCCCAGGTTTGTGCTCTGCTGCCTTCAATGAAGCTTTATAGGAGGGTTGCCTGTGAACTAGATTGTGTCCAATACAGTTTGCCTTCTGTGACGTACAGCCTTGATTCAGCCAGGTTTAGTCATAATAAAATAAGTCAGTTAGTTTTAGATTCTAAATTGGACCCTCTTAGGACAACTAATTTAGAAGTAGTCCCACTGAACTCACTAATACACAACCAAATCAACAACAGCTGCAACATGCTCCCCACCCGCCGCCCAGCAAAAACCCTGAAACAACTGAGCCTAAGAGTATAAATCTAGCAAAGCCTAAGACATCTCCAAATGGTTTTTTCAGGGTTTTTCACAAATAATGCTATATTATTGGCATATCATTATGATCTAAATGGTGCTGCTAATGGGTCAGTGGAAAGTGCGAACAGCAGTGGGGATAGAGGACATCTCTGTTGAGTACCTCTACATAATCTGCATGAGTCTGAATTTACTCCATTCACTGAGATATAGGCTTTAGGCTTGGAATATATTACAAATCCACATCATAAAACCTCACCTGCCCAGTTCACTATATTTCTCAACACTGCACTATGCAATTTAATGGGGCTGGGCGCTAGATTTGGCAGATCAAACTGAATCTAGTGGATTTGTCCCTTTAGTTCTACCCTGATATAGGACCAGATCTGGTATGCAACAACAGCAACAAGAATACTCATCGCAAAGTATTGGAAGACACAAGAACTTCCCACGCTGGAGGAATGGCAGATGAAATTGATGGACTATATGGAACTGGCAGAAATGACTGGTAGAATCCGTGACCAGGGAGAAGAGTTGGTGGAGGAAGATTGGAAGAAATTCAAAGATTATCTTCAGAAACATTGTAAAATTAAAGAATGTTAGAGTGATGTTGGATCGAAAATAAGTGGTTTCCAGCTGTACAGGTTAAAGTTATTGATAGACTAAGATTAAAGATTAGGATTAAAGATCTTTAAGGAAATGGAAATTTGGTACTTAAGAGGTAAAATTTTAATGTTATATTACATTAAGATTAAAGATTAGGATTAAAGAAGTTTAAGTGTTATATATTATATTAAGATTAAAGATTGGGATTAAAAAGTGGAAAAGAAATTGCTGGACAAAGAATTTGGACTGGAATACAAAAGAGGGAGGTATGAGGAAGTCCAGAAAATAAGTAAATTCAAAAACGGAAATGGAAAAGTGATACTGTTTTTAATTGTTCTGTTTCTTTTTAGTTTCTTTTGTATTTTGTTTTCTGTGTTTTCCTTTTTTTTTGGATTATGTATTGTGTATTTTTGTACTTCTACTTTTATGTTTTTCTGTTTAACTTTTTATTGAAACCTTAATAAAAATCATTAAAAAAAAAAAAAAAGATATAGGACCAGATCTGGGTTGGGTGTGACCTAGGTTCGGATAGGGCTGATCTGGGTCCACATCTTAGTGTGTGTGTGTGTGTGCACACGCGCAAGCACAGCCCTGGAATTACTCAAGATGTGATTATGGCTGCCAACCTAGATGGCTTTCTCAAGAGATTAGGCAAATTCATGAATGCTAAGACTATCAGTGGCTACTAATCGTTATGGATATATGCTATCAGAGGCATATCAATTGCTGGGAAAGAACAGGGCGAAAGGGTACTTACCTGACATGTGTCCTGCTTTTGGTATTGCATAGTGATATGGTTGGCTACTGTGTGGAGCAGAATGCTTGGAAAACCTGGCATTCTCCTAAACAGACCTCTTATACAGAAAGGTGGTCACATATGCACAAATTAGATGTGATACAAGAGATCTATGAACCAAATAGCTACAAGCAGTTCTTTAGTTGTCAACTGACCAGATCTTCTTCCAGAATCATTTGCAGTTAAAGAAATAAAAACAAGCATTTAATGCATGCAATTAAAAAACAAACAAACCATATCCTTGCCTTCCGAAGATGAACTCAGTCTATACTGACTCTGTATGTTCCTCATCCCTAAAAAAAAACAAAAAAACCCCGCTTTCTCTCTTGGAGATGATGAGTACTCTATCCATTGTAAATAAGCTCAATTAAAAGCAAAAGTAGCCATGCTGGCCCATTAGAAAACAACAACAACTCCACAATCCACAGTAGGGTAATGTGTTTCACAAAGCAGGGGGTGAGGGAGATCAGAGTTTCTTTCTTATTTAAGCACAAAAACATGTTGTAATCATGACCTGCAAGATAAAGACCACAGGCTGAGATGCCATTCATTGGAGGCAGTAGAATCTAGCACAAAAGTTAGGACCCAATTCACAATGGCTTTTTCAGATTACCATTTCAATCTGTAAGTAATCATTGTAAAATTGGTGCAGGGTGAATCTTTTCAACCCTGCAAAACCAACAGAAGAGTCTTGTAGCACCTGAAAGATTAAAAAAATTATTATGACACACACAATATAATTGGATGCATAAAGTGTTATACTGAGTTGCAGGGACACAATTGGTGGGAGCTTGTAAAAAAGATCAGAGGGAAACAAAATGCTGAATTATACAGTTGAGGACAATGACCTTTAAAACTGCAACGATGCACTAAAAACAGTAGTTGATAACACAGACATCCTTGCACTGGTAAGTCAGTTTTTAGCACATCCAGTGTGGTTTTAAAAACGTAAACCCAGCACCTATTGTACTGATTCCATCTGCAAATAATAGCACTGGTGCATTGTAATACAATGGTCTCATGGTTTGAGGCCACTTCATTCAATAATGAACACCTTAAGGTCAGTGACAGAGCATCCTGAGAAGCTGAAATCTTCCCTCTTTGGCTTTTCTATACTGCCATTTCAGATTTGTGCTCATTCATTCTTTTGCAGACCAGCTAGAAGGTCATTGCATAGACCAGCTAGAAGGCAACTGATGGCATATATTACTTTGGAAGATGAGCAGGTGAATTAGCCCCATTATTAGCTCCTGTAATAATTATGTTAAACTAGATATGGGAATAAAGTTGGTACCTGGCTCTGCCACAGCGTCTGGTCCCTCTTGTCCACAATCCTGTTATACGGCCTGTTACTCATGAAGAAGTGTTTTTAGGTTAATGGGCTGTCACCCAAGGCCTGTGATAGGAACGTGTCACCAATGCATCTCAGATAGAAGAGAGGCTTTCAGTTCTGTAGTCACTCTTGTTTTATAACAGATTGAACTAAGTAGGTAATTGACCTGATGTGATCAATCCTCTCCTCTGAACAGGTTAACCAAAATTGGATGATTACCAAAGTCTCAGAGCTGTTTGGAGAGTATCAGAAAGGATAAAATACAACTGAATAAAATAGGCATTCACAGCCACAACCGCAAGGAAAGCTTATTTTTTATTTCATTTTTTAAATTAAGACTACGATCCTAAACACACCATGGAGTAAGTCCCATTTAATTCAGTGGATTTTATTTCTGTGGCACACGTATTTAGTCTATAAGAAGGTGACGGTACACAGGGTTTTTTTAAACCATATAGTGAAAAAATCCCCTTATAAAATATGGGAGAAAATATAAAGAAATACTAGAACCAAAGACCTCACTGACAGAAGCCATGGCAGTAAAAAAGAAAATTATGAAAGGAGACTGCCAATGTATAGAATGATATTAGAAGAAAACAATAACAAATTGACGCTGAAGAAGTTTGAAGAAATTAGGTTGTACCTGACGGATTGGTTACATATTTTCAATTAAATGAAAAATTAAGTATAGATTAAAAAAAGGATTTGAAAATAAGACATCAGATTTGGAAAAAGAACTAATCCAATCCAAAGGAAAATATATTTCAAAAATGTACAGTCTACATCTTGAGTGGGAGGTAAAAGAAAAGGTAAAAGTAAGAGGTGATGGTGCGTTGGGCCCAGGAACTTGGATATAATATTCACATGAACCAGTGGGAGAAATTATGGAAGGTGGACATGAAGTTTACAGCATGCTATCATCTTAGAGAAAACATCATGAAAATGATGTACAGATGACACCTTACCCCGACCAAATTGTATTAAAATAGATCAGAAGTGTGCTGGAGATGCCAAAATGGTAAAGGTTCGTATATGCATATGTGGTGGGAATGTAAGAGTATAAGAGAGTTTTGGGGCATCATATATACAGTAATGAATTAAAAAAGATATTAAAATTCCCATTTACAAAGAGACCAAAAGCCTTCTTTTTAGGAATAATGTCAACAGAAATTTTAAAAAATAGCAGAGCACTCTTCAAGCAATTTAAATTTTTTAAAAATAGCAGACCACGCAACAACAACAGCCAGGATCCTGGTGGCGAAGAATTGGAAAAGTGGAAAGACCTCCTACAAAAACCGAATGGCAGGTTAAAATGATAGAATACTTACAATTGGCAAGGATAACAGGGAGAGTTAGAGGATACCCGATGCAGAAGATCAATAAGGAATGGATAGTATTTAAAGAATATTTAAAAAACTATTGTGATAACAAAAACCTCCTGGCAGATCTTGAGTGACTCTTGTAATATAAAGGTGTAAACAACAGAACTTCTTTGATAAGATTTTGGAAAAGAGAACAACAATAAGGCACTGTGTGATAAATAACAAAATGAGAAATAGTACAATGAGAATAATCGGAATTATATTTTAATTACTTTAATTTTTTATCTTTACCTTTTTCTTTATTTTCCTTTTTCCTCTTTCTTTGAAAAGTAGTTGTAGATGTAGTGTGTGATGTAAATATTGTATTGTTGTGTGCTGTTATGTAGGTTAATATTGATTGTTTAATAGTTAATAACAATCATAATCATAAGGATTACACTGCAAATTTTAATGATAGGATTGTCTCCTGTTCATGATTTTTATGGGTTGCTCATATTTTGAGACCACAAGGAAATAATATTATAGAGTTCGTTGTTTGGTTGGTTTATTATTCTTGTTGCATCCCAACAGTCTTCAATGAGTGTGTTTTCAGTTTCCAAACTATGCATTTAATGGAGGAAATGGTTTCTGATGGTAGGGTCTTTTTAAACTACCCATTTGTTTGTAGAAAAACAATAGGATTCTAGCATTGTAGGGGCTTGGAAGAGATGACCCTCAGGGTCCCTGCCAACTTCACCATTTGATGGTTCTGCTTCTGCCATGTGGAGCAGCTCTCTGGGGTTTCAGGTGGGAGTCTCATCAAGCCCTACTACCTGGGAGACACCAGGAGCTGGACCTGGGACCTTCTGCATGAAAACAACACGTTCTACCACTAAGTTACAGTGTTTCCCATCACTGCAATATGGTTTTCCCAGTGGCCAGCAATCTGCAGCGGATCTGTTGGCTCTTGCATCAGCTCATTTCCAGCTTCCATCTCTTTGCTTATGCTTGTATCCATGCTTGGAACTCATGAATGGGCATAAAACTTTTCTGTCCCACCAAGCCAATGCAGGCAATTTAAAGCACATCGCCCACAACGGTCTGCTGGTGTTTGTTTTTAACTATTTTGCAAATGTAAACTACTGTGATATATTATATCTCTCTAATATTGTTTGCTAATTTTTCTGGTACCACTTCATGCCTTTAGTTCCATGTCTTGCTGCCATGAAGACGCAGTGATGGGAAACAGTTCACTGGTGACATTTCTGCTAATTGAACAATTGTAAATACAACTGAGCCACAAGAGAAGTAAAAGGAAGCTATTCTGGGAAGTGCAGCACCTTCCCACATTTTGTGGGATAAATGTCTGTTTCTGTGGTCTGCCGATGTGAACAGGACCCTTGCAATGTTGCAAGCAGCTTCTTGTTCTCTTGATCTCTGTCCATCCAGGCTGGTAAAGCTGACAAGTGTATCCAGGGGCCTGCGCCCTTTGGTCAAGCAGTAGTACATAAATCCCTGAAGAAACCTCTGTGACGAAATGTTGGTTTTGCTGGGCAGGTTAGATCAACAAGTGCTTCTTTCTTTTTTTTCCTGCCTGCAAATTGTTAATGAATGGCAGCCGCTGATTGGCCAGGGTTCCAGGAGGGAGAGTTTAAAAGGAGAGGTTTTGGAGAGACACTTAGTTTGAGAGGGTTGGTTGAAGTGGGTTGGAATTGTGGTTGGAGAGGGTGGGAGATAGGTAGGGAGACAGGTTAGGAGACAGGCTGAGGTATAAAGAGTGAATGGGAGAAAGAGTTGGCTCTGGAAAAAACTTCCACTCTGAGCATATTGTGAAGCGGATTGTGTCCTGTAGGAGGAATAGACCGGAATTTTACTGGGAGGCAGAGGTTGAGCCAGGAGAAGTAGGAGCTGGAAAGGAACAGCCTACTTGGGACTCAAACCTAGTCTGGAGGGGAGAGATTCTTCTAAGGAAAAGAAGAAACTCCCAGACTCAGTGAAGGGAGGGAGTGTGGAGAGCCCTGTGGTCAATTACTTAAAGTACCTCAGGAGCAGGCTTGTTAAAGGGGGTGGATAACTGAAAGAAAGTATCAAGGAACCAAACCAATAATGCAAAAACAACTGAGGGCAAATTTAAAGTGAAATCGCACTGTATTTCTGAACTAACCTAAGTTGAATCAATTTGTGTTATATACTAGCTTGTCTTAAATAAATCTTTATTGTTTATTTAAAGAAAACCTGTCTGAGACTCCAACTTACTAGTTACCCCTTCACAAAGGTCCTTCGCAGCATACTCTGGGGCTAGAATTTTTAAGGGGAAAGGGAAAGAAACCTTCATGTAAAGGGTTGTTCAGTGAGGCGGGGGGAATTTATCTAAGTGAGAGCAGGCCCAAAGGCATGAAAGGAAAAAGTGTCGTTGTGCCCGTTGCAACCTCCTCTTGCACCTTTTTTTGTGCTTTACGACAACCACCATCTGCTTGCAAATATCCCCTTCTTGGGCAACATGGTGAAGAGAGAGGTGGAGAAGCTGTTACAGGAGTTTCTGGAGGATACAGCCCATCTGATCCCTTATATCACAGTTTGATGACTGAGGTTTTCAGGGAAGACGTTAGTGGTGTTGGTCCCCAATAGTTCAGATGAACAGCTTGTATTTTACAGATTCTATGCATTCAATATTATGGACCCAGTCCTGACTGAGTTTAGACAGCTCTCCTGCCTTCTAAACTTCAGACACTTGACAAAACCTTTTCTATTTTGCATTTTGTATTTTAAGATGGTTTCCTGATTCTCTGATTGGTTAGCAACTTGCTGGCCTTGTTAAAATTCTGTGGCTGGCAAGACAAAAGGCACTCATTTTCAATGCAACCATCATACTTTCTAAAGTACATAGTCAAATTCTTGCAGCAGTGAAGGTCTTCACGATCAATGCAGAAATGGGATTGTTGATCATACATATTTCAAAAGGAGATTCTTTTAAAATGCATTGCAAGAATCAGAATGTGATAGATTTACGGGCAAGGGATATTGGACATAATATACAATTGGCATCATGGGGAAAATTATGGAGGGAAGATTTAAAATTTACAACATGCTGTATGTTGAAAGAGAATTATATGAAAGTGATGTATCGCTGGTACTGAACTCCTACCAAATTAGCAAAAATTTATAGAACGGCTACAGATATATGTTGGAAGTGTAAAGATAAAGAAGGCACACGTGATGGACGTGCAAGAAGACAAAAGGATATTGGGAAATGATTTATAATGAGTTGAAAAAGATGTTTAAACTTACTTTTGTGAAAAATCCTGACGCTTTCTTACTAAGAATTTTAGATCCAGAAATACCTAAGGATCAGAATAGACAATTTATGTATGCTACAACAACTGCTATTTGCCCAAAGATGGAAAGAGGACAAAGTACCTATAAAAGAAGAATGGTTGATAAAGATGATGGACTATGCCAAAATGGCAAAAATGAATGGGAATATCAGAGATCAAGGGGACAATAAATTTAATAAAGAATGGGGAAACTTTATAAGTTACTTAAAAGAACACTGCAAAAATAAATAAAAAAGATTGGCAGGATTCCAAACAGTTCTTGCAATGTAGTGGGAACTATGGTAAAAACTGAGTTTTAAGGAAATATGGAGAATATTATATGCTGCAGTTGGAAAAGAAGATCTTGGGAAACCATGGAAAGGTGGAGGGAAGTCTCGGGATTCAGAGAATCCTATGTGTAGAATGACTATGATTTATGTGAGATGATAATTGGTAAAAGCAAAAATGAATAAAAAAGAATGTAATAGATTTACAATACATTCTGATTCTTACCATGCTTCTTTTAAAAACAAAGCAAAACAAAACAAAACTCCTTACTTCTTTACTGAGTAGAGATAAACAACTAATGGCCTGGGAACTCAATCCATGTATTGGGAGTCATTCAAATCTATCATCCATTTGCAAATTCTAAAGCCCACACCTCCATACATTTACTCCATGCACTATGTGAAATCTACTTCCTACATTAAAAATTGTTGTCTGTGTTACACAGAAAGTGACTTGGAACCAAGCCAGACCTAATTTTGTAAGTTTGTCTGTAATAAACTCATTTCTTGTTAATTTTAGAAATGGCAAACACAACATGGGGGGCAGGTGGTAGTTATGGATTCAGATCTGTTTGCGGTGCTAAGGAATGGGTTTAAAACACCATGCCATTTCACCCAAGTTGCCCCCTCAGAGCTAGTATTTGCCCAGCAGGAAGGGTGGAGGTTGCAGGCACCATGCAGCAAATTAGTTTTCCCCGCCCCATTTTATTTTATTTTTACTGTATAGAACCTACAATTCTGAATTTAGGGAGGAGGATTACTTTGTTGCTGTTATTGATAAACATGGGGAAGTCAGAAATCCTCTCTGATCTACTTAAAATCACCTAGAGCTCATCTAACTTCTGGCCATCCCTGCCATGTGAAGAAAATAGAAGCTTGGGAAGCCATTCAGATTGGTGGGGGGGAACAAAGCAGAAAGGGTTAAAAATCCCCTTTCAAGCTCTTTCTGACTCCACCCACCCCACCCCTCAGCTGCAAACATGTGATGCCTTATCACTGATCTCCAGACATTGAGTCTAGATTGATATCAGCTGTCTAGCAAGCCTTTGTTCACATTGGTGGGAGGAGTCAAACTGCCACAACTGTGTTGTTAAGGGATAATAATAAAGATTGCTTAAATACTGAATGCTCAGTACTGTCAGGAACTGATCACAAATGCCTTGTGTGTTAAAATGTCTGGCTTGTTTTGCACAAAATTGTCAAATGTCATGAATTAAAATAAAGCAAAGGCATTCTAATTAAAAAAACAAAAACTGCCAAGAATCAAAAGGCTTTGTTAGTATTGTGAAGAACACAAAATGTTGACCCTGAGAAAACTGGAGCACTCTAGTCTCTCAGCACTCTAGAAATGGCAGTGGCAATGGTAATAGAATGTACAGTGGAATGGATATCTATACACATTACGTGAACTCAGAAATCAGGCCCAGTCTTCACAATGTGCTGCATGTTAGAATGTGGTTCCTCTAGGGAAAACACCATGAAGATGCTATATAAAGTAAAGGGTAAAGGGACCCCTGACCATTAGGTCCAGTTGTGACTCTGGGGTTGCGGTGCTCATCTCCCTTTATTGGCCGAGGGAGCTGGCATACAGCTTCCGGGTCATGTGGGCAGCATGACTAAGCCACTTCTGGCGAACCAGAGTAGCGCACGGAAACGCTGTTTACCTTCCCACCAGAGCGGTACCTATTTATCTACTTGCGCTTTGACGTGCTTTCGAACTGCTAGGTTGGCAAGAGCAGAGACCGAGCAACGGGAGCTCACCCCATCACAGGGATTCGAACCGCGACCTTCTGATTGGCAAGTCCTAGGCTCTGTGGTTTAACCCACAGTGCCACCCGCATCCCAAGATGCTATATAGATGGCATCATACCCCCTTGAAACTAGCAAAAATGTATAAAAGAGGATCACTGATTTGTTGGAGATGTAAAACAGATGTGGGGTTATTTTACCATATGTGGTCATTGGGGAATTCTGGGATAACATCTATAATGAATTTAAGAAACTATTCAAACTCACCTTTAAAAAAAACCCAGAGATCTTTCTTTTAGGCTTCTTACCATTAGAAATTAAAACCTTCACAAACTAGTTTATAAATTCTTACTGAAGCTACTGATCAGATCTTAGAACATGTCATTGGCCTGGTTGTACGTAACACTAACCCCTTATTAACATTAACCATGGTTACAACTGAGGCATCAGGCAGATAATCAGTTAAATCTTGATTCAATGCATTGTAGAATCATTAAAAGCACAGTGAGAGCAGTTTGAATTTTTTGCAGCACTTCATTGACAACATTGCAACTTTTGGGCGATGGCACTTTAACCATAGCTAAGGAGGGTATCCAGGTTCACATGTAACACTAAGCTATGGTTAACATTAGCTACGATTTTTAAACTAGCTAGAACATTTAACCATAGTAAATAAACCATAGTTATGGGCTGCGTTGACACATAATGCAGCTAAACCATGGTTTAATAAACCATAGTTTAGTAAGCATGGTTTAGCATTCTATACAAACTGATATGCTAGGCAGGTTGCTGGAAGTCACAAGGGCTTACTGCCATCAGCAAAGCAAAACATTTCCAAGCAAACTCTGCCAATGAGTAGGGGTAGTCCACATGCTTCAGAACTCCTCTTCTTTTCAGGCTGCATGTTAAAACATACTCACACAATGGCAGTGATCAATCTCAGGATCAATCATGGTTCATCGTGCCAGGAATAAGGCTGTAATACAAAGAAATCCTGTAATCTTAATTTTCAGATGAGGAATTCTCTGACAGTTAACTGAATAGATAATTTGTGCTCAGGCCAAGGAAGTTGGACCATCAACTCCAAATCAGCCTGAGATGACTCTGTCTCTCTAAATAATTATCTTCTTTATGGACACAATCAAGCCCAACCTTATCATTAACTTGTATACATTCCAAGGTGCTAGGGTTGAGAGACAGAACTTGTCTAGGGCCATCTCTTGAGTTCATAGCTAGATAAGGCAACATGAATGAAACAAAAGGCAACATGAATGAAAGGAATGTTTCCATGCTATGTTAACAGGACATGAATGTATCCAGGCCCCATAAAAGTGTGTGTGTTTGTGTGTGTGTGTGTGTGTGTGTGTGTGCTTACTTATACATATATATTCACTCATACTAAAGTAACTATTGTCTTACTGAATAGGAAACCCTCTTTTAACTGAGAAATTTGGAAAGTATGAAACTGAAGTAGACACAAGCTATTTGTTATTGTTGGTTGTTGTTTTTTTAAAAAAAACAACTATGAATAGAGGCCATTTTCAGAAATGATTCTCAAAATAGTTATTTTTATTCAAATCTTTATTGGCATTGACCTACAAAAACTGGCAAGCACTGGAAAATAAAAATAACAAAAAAGTACTATATTCGGCACCTGCTAAAGGTGTTTTTGCTTAGGCTAGCCTATCTAGACATGTAGAAATGGAATGTGTTTTATTTAATATCTTTTTAGTTTACTGCTGATTTAAATTATATTCCAAAATTTTAAAATACTTGTTTTTAACTGTCAGTTTTTGGTAATATTCATGTTTTGTTTACAGAGATTCTATTACAATCAAGTGGTCTTTAAATGTTTCTTTTTAATGTATCTTTACTAAAGATTTTCTTGGTTTACAAAAGTATGTGCAATGTCTCTCTCTCTCTCTCTCTCTCTCTCTCTCATTTGTCCTTAAATGTTTTTAGTTAATTAATTGTTTTTAAAACCCTCCTAAAACTAGACAAATAGAGCAAATCAGCAGCTCTTCCTGCATCCCTAAATCAGACAGGAATAATCCAATGTAGATCAATCGGTGGGGGAAATTCTGTGCAGTGTTTGATCTGGCAAGTAGTTTGAGGAGAAAGGATACACACCTGGTGCTTCAGAGATCTGCCTGCCCTCACTGTAATCTTATTCTTATCCTGAATGCAATTGTAGGACAGCCAAGCGGAGCAGTTTCCCAAGTTATCATTCTCTTAGGATTGCTTCACACACTATTTAGATAGACATCTGAATGTTCAGCAAATCCATGTAAATTTCAATTCAGATAGAGCTATTCATGACATCATAGCTGTTAACATGGTGATCAAAGTTCTCTGTCAATAGTGTAATCACACTGATGAAGCAATACACAAGAGTTTAAGTATTAACTGGTCAGGGTGGCAGAATCATTTTGTGTGGATGATTAGAAACTGGTCTAGAGAGCAACAATTTGGAACAAAAATGAGGTTCACATTTAACAAATAAATAATAAGATCCAACCTCCCACTAGCCTACATTTTTAAAAGCTACAATCCTAAAATCATTGAACTTTTCCCCTTGCAGTTTGCCTTTGCTGTTTTATTACATTTTAATGGATGCTTATTGTTTTGATATATTGATGTAAACCACTTTGTGAGGTTCATTTCAAAAGCAGTACATAAGTAAATTAAATGGGAGGGATTGAGAGGGACGTATTTTTGACTAAAGGGATCTGTCTTGATTTATAATAATTAAAAATCATGATCAACCAAAAATAAAAGAGAACCAAAAACTTCCAAGCAGAGGCGGATTTAGGGCAGCCCAGCCGGTCCCCCCCCCCCCCGCGCTGAGCCTGGAGGGGCCACAGGGGAGCAGAAGGATGAAGGAATGAAAGGAGCAGAAGGGAAGGCGAGAGGGGGCAGCCTTCCTCAGAGGCCAGACATGCTAATGCGCTTATCTCGCCTCACGGGTGGGTCCCCCCTGCGGGGTGGGGTGGGGGGGTCATTGTGTGAAGAGGGAGCGGAGACCGAGGGGACGGGGGGGAGGGGAGAAGCGGGGAGACCAGGGAGGAGGAGGAGGAGGGCGGCCGGGGTGACGCCGCAGGGGAAGCCGTGGCCAAAGGGTGCCAAGGCAGGACAGGCGGGGGCGCATGCGCGGGGGCGGTTTGGGCGGGAAACGGCGCGCAGCGCCAACCTGGATTCTGTGAGGCGAGGCGAGAGGGAGTGGGGGAGGGGCGGCCGTTGGGACCAGAAAGAGGAGCGGGAAGGACACCCCTGCCCCCCCATTGCCCCAGCAAGACGTTCGTTATAGCGCTGGTGCTGCGGGAACGTAATAAGGGAATAATAATAATAATAATAATAATAATAATAATAATAATAATTTATTATTTGTACCCCGCCCATCTGGCTGGGTTTCCCCAGCCACTCTGGGCGGCTTCCATAGAAACCAAAAAACACTAAAATATCATACATTAAAAATTTCCCTGAACAGGGCTGCCTTAAGATGTCTTCTGAATGTCAGGTAGTTGTTTATCGTTTTGACATCTGATGGGAGGGCGTTCCACAGGGCGGGCGCCACTACCGAAAAGGCCCTCTGCCTGGTTCCCTGTAGCTTTGCTTCTCGCAATGAGGGAACCGCCAGAAGGCCCTCGGCGCTGGACCTCAGCGTCCGGGCAGAACGATGGGGGTGGAGACGCTCCTTCAGGTATACTGGGCCGAGGCCGTTTAGGGCTTTAAAGGTCAACACCAGCACTTTGAATTGTGCTCGGAAACGTACTGGGAGCCAATGTAGGTCTTTCAAGACCAGTGTTATGTGGTCTCGGCGGCCGCCCCAGTCACCAGTCTAGCTGCCGCATTCTGGATTAGCTGTAGTTTCCGAGTCACCTTCAAAGGTAGCCCCACGTAGAGCGCATTGCAGTAGTCCAAGCGGGAGATAACTAGAGCATGCACCACTCTGGCGAGACAGTCCGCGGGCAGGTAGGGTCTCAGCCTGCATACCAGGTGGAGTTGGTAGACAGCTGCCCTGGATACAGAATTGACCTGCGCCTCCATGGACAGCTGTGAGTCCAAAATGACTCCCAGGCTACGCACCTGGTCCTTCAGGGGCACAGTTACCCTATTCAGGACCAGGGAGTCCTCCACACCAGCCCGCCCCCTGTCCCCCAAAAACAGTATTTCTGTCTTGTCAGGATTCAACTTCAATCCATTAGCCGCCATCCATCCTCCAACTGCCTCCAGGCACTCACACAGGACCTTCACCGCCTTCACTGGTTCTGATTTGAAAGAGAGGTAGAGCTGGGTATCATCTGCATATTGATGGACACCCAGTCCAAACCCCCTGATGATCTCTCCCAGCGGCTTCATATAGATGTTAAAAAGCATGGGGGGAGAGGACGGAACCCTGAGGCACCCCACAAGTGAGGGCCCAAGGGTCTGAACACTCATCCCCCCCACTTTCTGAACACGGCCCAGGAGGAAGGAGCGAAACCACTGTATAACAGTGCCCCCAGCTCCCAACCCCTCTAGACGGTCCAGAAGGATGTTATGGTCGATTGTATCAAAGGCCGCTGAGAGATCCAGCAGAACTAGGAAACAACTCTCACCTTTGTCCCTAGCTCGCCGGAGATCATCAACCAGTGCGACCAAGGCAGTTTCAGTCCCATGATGAGGCCTGAACCCTGATTGGAAGGGATACAAATGGTCCGCATCCTCCAGGCGTGCCTGGAGTTGTTCAGCAGCCACATGCTCAATCACCTTGCCCAAGAATGGAAGATTTGAGACTGGGCAATAGTTGGCCATACTGGCCGGGTCTAAAGATGGTTTTTTAAGAAGCGGTTTAATGACCGCCTCTTTCAGCGGATCTGGGAATGTTCCCTCACAGAGGGAAGCATTCACCACCCCGCACAGCCCATCGCCCAGCCCTTCCCAGCTTGCTTTTATTAGCCAGGATGTGCAAGGATCAAGGAGACAGGTGGTTGGTTTCACGCGTCCAAGCAGCCTGTCCACATCCTCGGGGGTAACGGATTGAAATTGATTCCATGCAACTTGACCAGACAGGGCTCTAGCACTCTCCCGCCCCAGCCCTGCTTCCACGGTGGTGTCTAGCTCCTTCCGAATATGAGTGATTTTATCCGCAAAAACTTTGCAAAATCGTTGCAGGAGATCTTGGGGTCTTTACAAGGCCCCGATGGTAAAGGTGGTTCCGTTAAATTGCGGACCACCTGAAAGAGTCTCCTGCTACTATTTTCTGCAGATGCAATAGAGGCGGTGAAGAAAGTCTTCTTCGCCGTCGCTATCGCCACTTGGTAGGCTCGACGTTGAGCTCTAACCTGTGTCCGGTCAGATTCGGAGTGAGTTTTCTGCCACCGACGCTCTAGCCGTCTCAGCGATTGTTTCATCGCCCTCAGCTCCGAAGAAAACCATGGGGCTGTCCGGGCTCCATGCAATCGGAGAGGGCGCTCGGAGCCAGACAGCCGATAGGCTTGGTTAACTCCGCATTCCAGCGGGCCACCAGGGAATCAGCTGAAAGGCCATCAACATGGGATAAAGCATCCCCTACCACTCTCTGGAAACCATTTGGATCCATTAAGTGGCAGGGATGGACCACCCAAATTGGTCCCACCTCCCTGCAGAGGGAAGGGTCGCGGAGAAGTCCAGTTGCACCAGGAAGTGATCTGACCATGGCACTTCTTTGGTTTCGCTTTTACTTAGTGTCAGATCACCCACGTCACTAGAGGTGAATACCAGGTCTAAGGCATGTCCATGACTATGAGTTGGGCCCAACTTATTCAGGGACAGCCCCATGGAGGCCATGCTTTCCACGAAGTCCCGAGCGGCCCCTTGTAAGGTCGTGTCGGCGTGGATGTTAAAATCCCCTAGGACAACCAAACTAGGTGTCTCCAGGAGAACATCCGCCACGACCTGAAGCAGCTCGGACAGGGAATCCTTGGTGCAGCGGGGAGGTCGGTACACCAAAAGGAATCCTGTACTGCCCCTATTGCCCAACTTCCAGAACATGCACTCAGAAAACTGGGTCTTCCCAGTAGGACGCCTGATGCAAACTAATGACTTCCTAAAAATCACTGCAACCCCCCCTCCCCGCCCACATGACCTGGGTTGCTGTGCGTAAGAGAAACCTGGTGGGCAAGCAGCAGCAAGGACAGGCCCATCTGCTTCCTCCAACCAGGTCTCTGTCACACATGCCAGGTCAAATCCTCCATCCACAATCAAGTCGTGGATGGCAGTGGTTTTATTCATCATTGACCTGGCATTACACAGCAACACCTTCAGGTCATGTGGGTTTCCCCTGTTGATTCCAGTATCCATCCGGTCAAGGCCAGACCCGGAGGCAGGGATAGTCTTCAAACAACGACTAAACCTGCCTCCTCGGTAATGACATGGTCTGGTCTTAGCGTAACTCCTCCTCCTGCCCATGATCACCGAGATCGGATGTCCCAGTGCTTCCCCCCCTGTGGAACTTGTCCCAGCCATCGTGTTGGCTGGGGCCCCACTCCCAGGCAGCCCTGATCCCGCCCCTTAAAAACAAAACACAAACTATACAGAACCAATAAAACAACAGAAAACAAAAACAGAACAATTATACTAAAATTAATCCCCAACCAAATATGCATCCCACCCACCCACCCCCAACAAAGGAAAAAAGGAAAAAAAGAAATACAAATTTAAATTGCCACCGACTGCTTGAGGACATTTTAAAACACATTAACCACTTGGAACAGGGAAGCAATTGCAGAACACTTCCCAGCTTCCCCAAAAGTTTGTTCCAAATAAGGGCCTGGGCTACGCCCCCTGGGCCAGTTGGAGAAGGCCCTGGAAGGGAGCAGGCCCTGCAGTCCTCACCCTGCCGATGGTCCGAGGCCTCACCGCAGCAGGAGTCTCTTTATAGCTGGGAGAGAGGGCCATGGCCACGCCCCCTGGGCCAGTTGGAGAAGGCCCTGGAAGGGAGCAGGCCCTGCAGTCCTCACCCAGCCGATGGTCCGAGGCCTCACCGCAGCAGGAGTCTCTTTATAGCTGGCAAGACAATGTCGAGAGGGAAGCCCTTAAGAGTTATCTCGCAGCCGGTCCCCAGGCGCCACCACAGGGCGCGGCGGCGGCATCTTCCCTCAGGCATGTATATATTTGGCGGCGTATCTGCGTGTTGGCCTGAGGCAGGAAGGGTTCAAATCCCTGCGCGCGCGCGCGCGCACACACACACACAACCACACAGCACAATCCCTATACACACACACACACCCTACTACCAGCCCCGAAGCTCACTCGGGTGCCTTTGCGTCAGTCGCCGCCTCTCTGGCTGGTCTCCCTCACGGGGGTGTCGGGGGCTGAGAGGGAAGAAGGAGGTGGGCCACCCCAAGGGCCCAGGGGTAAAACGGTGGGGTCCTTGGAGCCAACTCTTGGGCCCTTGTCTCTGGCCCCCCCCCCCCCCGCCCAATGTTCTATTCAAGTGGGCGCCCCTGGGTGGGATATAAATAGAGAAATAAGCTCGTGGAATTGAAACCCGGTTTCAGAACCATTTGGCTGGAAAGCAAATCCTGAACCGCATAAGCAAAATTGGTCCCTTGTCTGGTTGTCAGTAGCTCAGCAAGGATTAGCTTGGTTTAAGATTAGGGACAAGAGGAAATACTGAATGATGAAGTGATAATTGTGTAGCATTATAAACAGATTGGAATCATGTAAGGCATTGCCAATACTCTCCAATAGCCTCCTCATTTAACCTTTTGAATTCCATGATTTAACCCAATGTCTGAGTCACATCATCAAGCTACTGAGGATTTTGGTTTGGGTGAACTCTTCCTTTGTGGAAGTTGCACGTAAAAGCAGAGAGGGGATCCGGCAGAACCAACCCCTTTCTGTATTCAGGCAACATTTCAAAAAGGAAGTGCATTATGTAGCATGGCAGACTGGCAGGGCTCAGAAAAATCCATCCCCAGAGAATCACATGCACAAAAACACACGTATATATCTATATCCATATATGCTTTATTGTTTTCTGCAAAAAGTACAAAATACATTATGCTTACAACACAATGCATCAAACATTAAAAAACAAAACAAATAAATAGCAAACCAAGAAACCAATAGCAATAATAAATAATAATAATAGCAATAATGAACAGTTTATACTTATACCCAAATTAAAATAATCGCCAACCCCAACTAAACATTTAACCCACATCAACCCAACAAAAACAAAAGCAAAATTGGAAACTTTTGAAACATTTCCCCAATTGTTCCAACCCCAGATTTTGACTGTGGCCCTTATTTGAACAAGTGGCCAATTGTTCAGCTTTTATTTTTGATTTCAATATACAAGTGCTCTTAGCTTGCTTGGGCAAAGGGAAGAGAATGCTTCAGTAAAAGGAAAGCCAGATGATGATCCCAGACAAAGGCATTAAAATAACAAACTTTACTGAAAAACTGTAAAATGTATTCATATGGATGAGTATATATCGGGAGATATCGGGAGTATATATCGAGAGAAGGGAAGATATTGCTTTGCTGCCCATTTTGGTAATCTTCAGGCAACATTTGCACAGGATTTGCAGCTGGATAATTCCCCGTTGCATGACTGTTCCCCATTGCAGACCAGGGAGTTTTACTGCTTGATGGAGTGCAGAAGTTACCAGCCGATGGTGGAGGCTGCCTCATCATCTCTGCACCATAATATGGAACTGGGCAGTTGCTTGCCTTGGAAGTCTCACAAAGCCCTGTTCCACCAACAGCAGCTGGCTGGTAATGAACCGGGTTCAATTCCTGGGAGTTCTGCTGCTGTGCGGCATAGACGGGCTCTCCTGGTTGCGTGGTGCTGAGAGGTGGCTGCCAGAACCCTGCTCCTTCATAGCTTTCGGGATAATGGAAGCTGCGTGGCTGGTAATGTTGCTGCGTCGGACTTCTTGCACTGCTCCTCGGAGTGCTTGGACTTCTTCTGTCAGAGCGGCTATAAGGAGTTGTAGCTTGGTTCTTGATCATTGTTTTGGACCCAGTCACCTTTGTTCTCGCTCTTCAGTTCTGAAACCAGGTCCGAACAAAAGCTTTCGGGATAATGGAAGCTGCATGGCTGGTTTTTTGGGCTGCTCCCCAGGCTGTGTAATGGACTTCTTCTTCTGTCACAGCGGCTATAAGGAGCTGTAGGTCAGTTCCTGATCATTATTTTGGAACCTTTGTTCTCGCTCTTCTGTTCTGAAACCAGGTCTGAACAAAAGAAAGGAGAGAACAAAATGCCCATTATTTCCAAATGGATAGGTCATAATTTCACTTTCTAGCTCAGAGGACCGCCAAATATTTGTGCCTCATGTGGTGTAATTTTTTCAGTGTGGGAGAACTAGGGACTTGCGGGACATTGGCTAGAAAAGTAATGTTGCTTAACTGTGGTTCCAGCTGAATGCTGCACATTTGATCTCTCAATGCAAGGTCCTGAATGCTGCAATCCTAATAGGAATATCCTATGCACACTCCCTTGGGAGTTCGGTCAGGTGGATCAGGCTATAAAGGCGGCCCAGAAAACCGGATGGTTTTAGCCTCAAATTAGAGTTGAAACCAGGTCTGTTAAGAGTTTTTACTGTTCAAACCCAGAACCTTTGAAATTTGAAAGTATGTGCCACCAATCATTTGACTGGGAAGGAAAAGGAAGCCTTAATCAGGAACCAGGATTTCTAAACAAGTATGGGCACAGTTTCTTCCTAAATTTGAAAAGGAGGGGACACAACGCACCCATCCCTTACAAAAAGCCTTTACATCCACGGTACAACACGCCCCCCCCCGAAATAAAACCCCACAAAAACCCAGGAAAGAGGAATTTGGCTCTTGACTAAGGAACCTTTCACGTTAAGCTTGGAGGCACCTGGATGAGCAAAGGCATTCGAATGACAACGAAAGAATTATTCTGAATGTTTTAAATTTATCCAGCATTTGCGATTTAAGGAAGTCCTAGGAACCCCCGCTTTCCCCCTTCTTACGTGCACACGATCTTCCTCGACTCTGATGCTCCTCGCCAGCGCCTCCCTGGTCTGGTATCCGGGGTACACGTTTTTTTCAAACCCCTTCTTTAAAAGCTCGATTTGGGCTGTGGTAAAAACTTTCCTTTTTCTCCTATCTCCTCCTTTGGGGTAGCTTCCTCCTGGGAAAAAACCAAGAGGCAAATCTGAAGGAAGCGCTTGGTTAGCTTAAACTGAAGCGACGCTTGCAGATCTTCCTCCCGACATGGAAAGCTCAGGGCTTAATAATCTTTTTTTTTTTTAAAAGTTTCTCTTACCTTCGTTGTTGGTTGCCATCATGAAAAAACTCTTTCTCGCTCTCTCCTGAATTGGTTTTGCTTTAAAAATGGACACTAAGATCCCTCAGGTTCACTCCCTCAGGTTCACTGCTATTCTGCTGGGGGTTTGGTCTGGGCATTTATCTCCGGTGGGCGATCCCATCCTTATTTCTCCACCAATACGAGGTTCCCCGGTTGCGGAATGCCCTCCCAGTGAGCAGCCCCGTCTTCATCATTTTTGCGTTTCACCCTTACTTCTCAACCAATAGAAAGAGTTACATTCTCTTTCAAAAAATCAGTTGCTTTGCCAAACTGGGTCTAACCCCTCCCTCCGTCGACACCCCTTTGGCAATTGACTCTTCAACTGAATGGAAGAGAATTGAGAGGTGAGGGGAGAGAGAGAGATTTCGGGTGCCTGCTGCGCATTTTCTTTGTCAAGGCACACCCGCATTGTACAAAAAACACACTTGCGAGGTCCAACCAAAGAACACCTCCCCACACACACACTTTGTGTCTTAAACGGGTACTCTCTTTTTTAAAAGGTTTTTGTTGTTCTAAAAAGAAGCAAGTGTAAATTATTTCATATCGACAAAGAAGCCTGGAACAACTTAATTCCAATACCCCTCATTCCAGCCTCTGCCGTCTAAATAAATTAGTACATTGCCTTGGATGGTACATTGTACATTGTACATGTACATTGCTTGGATGTTAACTGCCAGCAATCGCATCAAATGCGAATAATACCGTATATAGCGGCGGCAACCGAAGAAAGAAATCTATGTAAGCAAGCTATATTTTATTAACATATGATTAAATTTGCATTCATTTTTCGCTGGTTTTGAAGACTTAGGAAACAGCTTACGTTCCTTTAAAAACGGTGCATTGGATATGCAAGGGCACCCGCCATCTTAGAAGAGGAATTCCTTGCACTAAGAATGTCTTTTCCAAGCTGGTACCTGCAAGTTAGGATTCGTATGTTAATCTTTTAAAAACCTAAATAAATAAATAAAATGACAGTGCCGTTGTAGTTGGTTTAAATTGCTTTAATTTAATCTGGATGGTCAGCCCATTTAAAGATGTTCCCCGGTTGCGGAATGCTCTCTCTAATGAGCTGCCCCGTCTTCATCATTATTGTGTTTCCTTAGGAATTTGAAAATATTCCCGTTTACTCTTTTTTTTTTTTTTTAATGATATTTATTGGAATTTTTTTTTTCAAATTACAAAAGAAAACAAAGTAGAAAAAAAAGAAAGCGCAAAGAAAAAACAAACCACATCAAACAATACAAATTAAAAAAAAAAATACACCACAGACAAAAACAAAACCATCATTCTCGAATCCTCAACTTTCATTACCTTCTTTCTTTGACCTCCTCCTCCCCCCTTTTTTTGTATCCTAGTTGTTAATTGTCGCAGCAAATCCTTTCCATATTTCATAATATTCTGTCATTACATTACCTTAAACTATTTTAATCTTATCTTACTATAAAAAACCTTGAAACTTAAAACTTAAATCTTATTTTTACCAACTTCTCATAACCATAATATTCTTACATAATTCTTTAAACATTTTTACTAAAGCCAAGTAATTTTATTTCAACATTTTTCCAACATTCATCAATTTTATAAAACAATCCTAGTAGTAAGAAAAGAAATAAAAACAATCCAATCTTCATCCAGCGTCCCTTCCTCCTGGTCCCGGGTTTTGTCAGTCCTTATTATCCCATCGATCTAGCGCATTAACCTGGTAACCTTGTATCCGAGGCCCTTAAGTCTCTTCCATGTCCCTTCCGCAGCTCTTCTTCATATTTATAACTATTTTCCCTTGTCTCCTGCTCGTTTCACTCGTGGGAACTCCAGCTTAACAATGTTTTTGACCCTTCTCGACAGATCAGCCCCTTTTCCATAATCCACACTAAACTCCATGTGGTATTTAAGAACATGTTTCAAAATCCCTCCAAAATTAGGAGCCCCCACAACCCCAAACATCTCACGGCCCATTGCCAGACTTGAAAAGTCCAAACATCCCTGCATAGGGGGGTCTATCCAGCCCCCCATTTCCAAACCAGTCCAAACTTTATCTTTCCAAATCTGGCTTTTTCCAAGTTCATTTGTCAAATCCAAAAGCTCATGTTCCTGTTGGGCCACAGCTCCCTCCATCTCTGGCGCCCAAGATTCAGCAACATCCTCTTCCCTCATCTGTTCTGTCAGGGCACACTCCTGATTTAAGCTTTAAGTTTTAAGGTTTTCTATAAGATAAGATGAAAATAGATTAAGGTAATGTAATGACAGAATATTATGAAATATGGAAAGGATTTGCTGCGATAATTAATAACCAGGATACAAAAAAGGGAGGAGAAGGAGGTCAAAGAAAGAAGGTAATGAAAGTTGAGGATTCGAGAATGATGGTTTTGTTTTTGTCTGTTTGTGGTGTATTTTTGTTTGTTTTGAATTTGTATTGTTTGATGTGGTGTGTTTTTCCTTTGTTTTCTCTTTTTTAATAATAATAATAATAATAATAATAATAAATTTTATTTATATCCCGCCCTCCCCAGCCAAAGCCGGGCTCAGGGCGGCTAACAACAATCAAATAATCAAACAATCAAATAATCCAACATTCTAAAACATTTCATTATAAAAATTAATTAAAATCAAATTAATGGCAATCATTAAGCAAAGTTCTGTGCAGGTTGCCAGAGGAGGGAGTCAGGCTGGGCCCTGACCAAAGGCCTGGTGGAACAACTCTGTCTTGCAGGCCTTGCGGAAAGATGTCAGGTCCCGCAGGGCCCTAGTCTCTTGTGACAGAGCGTTCCACCAGATTGGAGCTGCAGCCGAGAAAGCCCTGGCTCTAGTTGAGGCCAGCCTAACCTCTCTGAGGCCTGGGACCTTCAGGATGTTTTTATTTGCAGACCGTAGGTTCCTCTGTGGGGCATACCAGGAGAGGCGGTCCCGTAGGTACGAGGGTCCTAGGCCGTATAGGGCTTTAAAGGTTAAAACCAGCACCTTAAACCTGATCCTGTACTCCACCGGGAGCCAGTGCAGCTGGTATAGTACCGGATGAATGTGATCTCGCAGCGAAGACCCCATAAGGAGTCTCGCCGCGGCATTCTGCACCCGCTGGAGTTTCTGGGTCAGTCTCAAGGGCAGCCCCACGTAGAGCGAGTTACAATAATCCAGTCTGGAGGTGACCGTCGCGTGGATCACAGTGGCTAGGTCAGGGCGAGAGAGATAAGGGGCCAACTGCTTAGCTTGGCGGAGATGAAAAAATGCCGCCTTTGTTATAGTTGTAATCTGCGCCTCCATAGAGAGGGAGGTATCGAAGATTACACCCAAACTCTTAACGGAAGGTGCTGGCACTAATTGCACCCCCGCAAGAGATGGGAGTTGCCCCCCCAATCCCATATCGTCCCGTCCCAGCCAGAGGACCTCTGTCTTCGAAGGATTTAACTTCAACCGGCTTCCACGTAACCATCCAGCCACAGCTTCCAAACATCTGGTCAGTGTGTCTGGGTCCGAGTCAGGATGGCCATCCATCAACAGATAGAGTTGGGTGTCATCGGCATACTGATGGCAACCCAGCCCAAAACTCCGGACAAGCTGGACGAGGGGGCGCATAAAGATGTTAAAAGCATCGGGGAGAGAATCGCACCCTGAGGCACTCCACACACCAAGGAGTGGCGCGATGACAATTCCCCCCCAAGCGCCACCCTCTGTCCCCGACCAGAGAGAAATGAGCGCAGCCATTGAAGGACTGTGCCCTGGATCCCCACGTCGGCAAGGCGGTGGTCCAGGAGTTCGTGATCGACCATGTCAAAGGCTGCTGACAGGTCTAGAAGAATCAGCAGCCCCGACCCGCCTCGATCCAGCTGCCTACGGAGATCGTCTGTTAGGGCGACCAGAGCCGTCTCGGTCCCATGACCAGCGCGGAAGCCGGACTGGAATGGATCCAGAGCCGATGTTGCATCCAGAAACCTACCAAGCTGTTCAGCAACCGCTCTCTCAATCACCTTACCCAGGAATGGAAGATTCGAAACCGGGCGGTAATTGGATAGATCTAAGGGATCTAATGATGTTTTCTTTAAGAGCGGGCGCACCACTGCCTCCTTCAATTCCCCTGGAAATATCCCGGTGCCAAGGGACAAGTTGATGATATCCCCCAGGGGGGCCCGCACCTCGTCTGGACATGCTCTAATCATGGGCACGGGTCAAGAGGACAGGTGGTGGGCTTTCCAGCTCGGAGGAGTCTGTCCACATCGGCTGGGGATATCCGATCAAAGTGGTCCAATACTGGACCCGAGGACAGTCGAGGGGCCTCCAGTTCCTTTATTGTATCCAAATTGGCAGGGAGGTCATGGCGGAGCAACAGGACCTTCTCCGCAAAAAGCTCGCAAATGCCTCACAGCTGTGTGTCAGATTGTTATTTAAATTTGGCTGTCCTTCAAGGGACGTTAAAGACCTAATTATACTAAATAATTGCGCCGGGCGAGAGCTAGCGGATGCAATGGAGGCCGAGAAGTAAGACTTCTTAGCGGCCTTCACTGCCATCTCATAGGTTTTCATAAAAACCCTGTAAGATGTTCTTGAGGCTCCGTCACGGGCACCCCGCCATACTCGCTCTAGCCGTCTGAGGTCCCGCTTCATTTTCCGAAGCTCCTCGGTAAACCAGGGAGCCCGGTTTCTGCGGAGTCGCAGAGGGCGCATAGGTGCGATCTCATCTATGGCTGCCAGGAGCTGGATATTCCAGCCCTCAACAAGCTCAGTCAATGAGTCGCCAGGGGGAGCAAGGTCCCGCAAGGCTTGATGGAATCTATCAGGGTCCATCAGCCTCTGCGGGCGAGCCCAAATCGGCTCGCCACCTAAGCAGGGTGGGGGTGGAAAATCAATCCTGGCTTTCAGCGCGTAGTGATCAGACCATGGCACCTTTATTGAAGGAGACATGATCATATCTATACCTACGCCAAAGATCAAATCCAGCGTGTGGCCTGCTTGATGTGTGGGGCCTGAAACAAACTGGGAGAGCCCTAGTGTCGCCATGGAAGACACCAGGTCCAGAGCCTGTGAGGAGGGAGTGGCATCAGCATGGATGTTGAAGTCCCCCAATACCAATAGGTTAGGGAACTCCAAGGCCCAGCCGGCCACCGCCTCCAGCAGGCCTGACAGGGTGGCTGCTGGTGCGCTAGGTGGCCGGTACACCAGCCAGACAGCCAAGCTCACCTCAGAGCCCCACACTAGGCCAACACATTCAATGCCGGGGATCGATGGCGATGGTAGAGCCCTGAAAGAACAGTCTTCCCGGATTAATAATGCCACCCCTCCCCCCCGGCCCACAGTCCGTGACTGGTGGAGGACGGAGAAACCCGGGGGCGCCATTTCTTGTAAGGTAACTGTTGCCCCTTCGCGTACCCAGGTCTCTGTCGCACAAGCCAGGTCAACCCCCTGCGAGGTAATGAAATCTCGCAGAGTGGCGGTTTTTTGCCTATAGACCTGGCATTGCACAGCACCAGTGACGGAGGTGAGTAATCCTTGCTCACCCTACCCTCGTCCCTCGGGATGGGGCGCAGATTGGAAGGGGTACGAGCATATCCGTATCTCGATCCCCTTCGCCTATAACATCTGCCCCCACCACCATACCTCCCTCGCCCCTCCACGGTAGCAATCCCAAGCCTCATACAAGCCTCCATTTATAAAATAGAAAAACAAAACAAACCAAAAACAATTAAACCTAAACAAAACCAATCCCCACCCCAAACCACAATAAAACGGAACAAAATAAAAATACATAGATAAAAACCACTGTTCACGGTGGTACAACAAAGTAAAAAGTAAAAACACCTTTAAAACACTTTAAAATATATAAAAACATTTTTAACATTTGCTGCAGGAGCACCAGTGTCCTTAAAGCTGTAGCGGAGGTGAGAGTCTGGGCCCCGCCCCTAGGCCAGGTGGAGTTAGCCTGAGGAGGGAGCGGCCTTCCCCCACACTCACGGTGCAGTAGCAGCAGCGATGTCCCAGTGCCTCAATGAGGCCTCTTAAAGCTGTGGCGAAGGTGAGTCTGGGTCCCGCCCCCTAGGCCAGGTGGAGTTAGCCTGAGGAGGGAGCGGCCTTCCCCCACACTCACGGTGCAGCAGCAGCAGCGATGTCCCAGTGCCTCAATGAGGTCTCTTAAAGCTGTGGTGAAGGTGAGTCTGGGTCCCGCCCCCTAGGCCAGATGGAGTTAGCCTGAGGAGGGAGCGGCCTTCCCCCACACTCACGGTGCAGCAGCAGCAGCGATGTCCCAGTGCCTCAATGAGGCCTCTTAAAGCTGTGGCGAAGGTGAGTCTGGGTCCCGCCCCCTAGGCCAGGTGGAGTTAGCCTGAGGAGGGAGCGGCCTTCCCCCACACTCACGGTGCAGCAGCAGCAGCGATGTCCCAGTGCCTCAATGAGGTCTCTTAAAGCTGTGGTGAAGGTGAGTCTGGGTCCCGCCCCCTAGGCCAGATGGAGTTAGCCTGAGGAGGGAGCGGCCTTCCCCCACACTCACGGTGCAGCAGCAGCAGCGATGTCCCAGTGCCTCAATGAGGCCTCTTAAAGCTGTGGCGAAGGTGAGTCAGGGCCCCGCCCCCTAGGCCAGATGGAGTTAGCCTGAGGAGGGAGCGGCCTTCTCCCACACTCACGGTGCAGCAGCAGCAGCGATGTCCCAGTGCCTCAATGAGGCCTCTTAAAGCTGTGGCGAAGGTGAGTCAGGGCCCCGCCTCCTAGGCCAGATGGAGTTAGCCTGAGGAGGGAGCGGCCTTCCCCCACACTCACGGTGCAGCAGCAGCAGCGATGTCCCAGTGCCTCAATGAGGCCTCTTAAAGCTGTGGCGAAGGTGAGTCAGGGCCCCGCCTCCTAGGCCAGATGGAGTTAGCCTGAGGAGGAGCGGCCTTCCCCACACTCACGGTGCAGCAGCAGCAGCGATGTCCCAGTGCCTCAATGAGGCCTCTTAAAGCTGTGGCGAAGGTGAGTCAGGGCCCCGCCCCCTAGGCCAGATGGAGTTAGCCTGAGGAGGGAGCGGCCTTCCCCCACACTCACGGTGCAGCAGCAGCAGCGATGTCCCAGTGCCTCAATGAGGCCTCTTAAAGCTGTGGCGAAGGTGAGTCAGGGCCCCGCCCCCTAGGCCAGATGGAGTTAGCCTGAGGAGGGAGCGGCCTTCCCCCACACTCACGGTGCAGCAGCAGCACTTTTTTTTTCTGCTTTGTTTTTTTTTTTTTTGTAATTCTAAAAATTTTTCAATAAATATCATTTTTTTAAAAAAAGAATTTATTTTTTTAAGTTGCCTTTGCCCATTTGTTTATTTATTTCATTAAATGTATACCCCACTTGATAGTAAACCACTTTGCAGTTTTTTGTTTTACAAACAGATAAAATAATAAAATTGTGTGTGGGGGGGGAATCAACCATACTTCAAAAAACACAAATTTATATTACCTTAAATTAGCACAGAGCCATTGAATGATATCTGTGTCCTCGTTTTTGACAGTTAGTCTTCCTCCAATGAGTTCTGGGAGGCACCTACTAGGCTATCACTCTAGAAACCCTTTCTCTCACCTAAGGAAATCTAACAGGAGCTGGTAGATGGTTTACTCCCAGGCATGTGCAGAGTGCTCACCCCTCAGCATCTGGCAACCGCCCAGGGAATGCTAGTGCTCAGGGCTTTCCTTATGGAGGAGGGAGAGAAACACCAGCCGAATTCCCAGGGGCAGGTTCAGAAAAGGAGGCAAAGATGAAAAGGGGGCACAGGCTTCAGGGTGAAATCCTCCCTGGGTTGCATTTGCCTGAGCTGACGTCCCAGCCACCTTGGCCAGACTTACTCCTGCAGGGGGGTCAGCAGGGCCGGCCCAAGACATTTGGTCCCCTGAGACGAGTCCCAAAACTGTTCCCCCCCCCCCCCCAGGGAAGAAGGGGAGAATGGAGATTGTTGGGGGATCAAGATCAAATGGCGAAGAAAGGCGGGAAGAGACCAGTGGCGCCTCCTCTTTGCCCCGAGGCTGCTGTAGAGGCAGATTTGGAGTGGGGTAGAAGTGGAAGCGGAGGAAGATCCAGCTCCCAAGCAGAGGCGGATTTAGGGCAGCCCAGCCGGTCCCCCCCCCCCCCGCGCTGAGCCTGGAGGAGCCACAGGGGAGCAGAAGGATGAAGGAATGAAAGGAGCAGCAGGGAAGGCGAGAGGGGGCAGCCTTCCTCAGAGGCCAGACATGCTAATGTGCTTATCTCGCCTCACGGGTGGGTCCCCCCTGCGGGGTGGGGTGAGGGGCCATTGTGTGAAGAGGGAGCGAAGAGGAGACCGAGGGGGGAGGGGAGAAGCGGGGAGACCAGGGAGGAGGAGGAGGGCGGCCAAGGCGACGCCGCAGGGGAAGCCGTGGCCAAAAGGCGCGAAGGCAGGACAGGCGGGGGCGCATGCGCGGGGGCGGTTTTGGGCGGGAAACGGCGCGCGGAGCCAACCTGGATTCTACGCGGCGAAGCGAGAGGGAGTGGGGGAGGGGCGGCCGTTGGGACCAGAAACAGGAGCGGGAAGGACACCCCCGCCCCCCCCGTTGCCCCAGCAAGACGTTTGTTATAGCGCTGATGCTGCGGGAACGTAATAAGGGAAGACAATGTCGAGAGGGAAGCCCTTCAGAGTTATCTCGTAGCCGGTCCCCAGGCGCCACCACAGGGCGCGGCTATCTTCCCTCAGGCATACACAGTGGTACCTCTAGTTCACAGGCAACCCTCCCATAAAGCTTCATTGAAGGCAGTAGAGCACAAACCGTGCGGGGGGGGGGGGATTAAGAGCAAGAAAATGAAATAAAGTGTTCAAAATATCCCCCCACAAAGTTTTTAATAGATGTATGTGCCTTAGCCTGCAACATCGGTATTTATAAGTTTTTTATAATGGGCATCCTTTCTGGAGGGAGAACATGGAACTCCTCAGCAGCTCCTGGGATGCCAGTTTCTTTTCCCAGGGCCTTCCACGTGATAACGCCAGGCCGTTGGAGGGAGGAGACTGAAAAGGCCCTACGGGCACTTGGCCTCTACAATTTTTGGCTTAATGTGTATCCATGTCTACATGGAAATTTTGTGCCAATTAGAACAGGTAAAGCAGGAAGTTCTCCTGTCACCTTCCTCCTCAACTGGCGTGACAAGCAGTTCCCGGGGGTGAGGCACGGTGAAAGATAGAGGAGCACGTGGATGGGAACAGTTGCCAATGCCTTGTCTTCTACAGTATTGAGAAATGACAAGGTCTCTTTCCTAGTGGGCAAAGTGAGAGGGGAAACCTCCACAGGCGAGTCCCTTCAGCCCATTATCACGGGAAGGCCCTGGGGGAAGAAACTGGCATGCCAGGAGCTGCTGAGGAGTTCCATGAAAGTTCAGTGACCAGCCTAATCAGATTTCGTGCAAATAATGGGGAAATGCGGAAACATGTCCTTTGCCTCAGCTAACAAAATGGCTTGTGCTGCTCCTGCTATCTACCCAAGTATCATCCTGCATATAACATTAAACCTTTTAATATGCATATTGCAAAATGTATGAAATGAATTCCTGCAGGCAGCTGAAAAAGGTGGCGACAACTTTCCTGTGCTGGTGCTGAGAGACTATGACATTCTGTTCCCAGAAGTTTATCTATCTTGACCTCTTCCCTCCCACTTTTTCACAGGCAAGTCAAGCCACATTTTTTCAGAGGACTTTCAAATATTTCTTTAGTATGGTTTCCAAACATCTTTACTGCTATTTTTAATGCCTGGTGTGTTGTATTGTTAACCCTTTCTTTTCTTTTTTACGCTTAATGTTGGCTTGAGGAGAGATTGTCCTTTACAGGGCTACTGTGAAACTCCATATATAAACTGACTGGGCATTCTGATGTGGACAATATGTTCTCAGGCCAGTTGCAAGCAAAGACAGATTCCTGCATATTCTCCAGCAAGGGCAATGCACAGTTTTGTCACATCACCCTTTGCCAACCCTCTGGGGGCAACATGCCAGTGGTAGGTATGGACAAATGTGGATGCGACCACCCTACACTGTCACACATGCACTCACACAAACAGCTTCCCCCCCTTCCTAGTCAAAAATCAATGCAGTCTTAGGTGAAGGGAGAGATTTGCTTGAGAGATCAGGGCAGACCTGTCTATACCCACTCTATAGGGCAGGGATGAGAATGTCTAATTCCCAATTTGGCAAATGGGCAAGGATTACATTCTGCCTCAAGTCAGACACTACAATGAGAGTAATCCAAAATGGTTGCGCCTGCTAGGGCAAGCCATTTGCTCTTAACATATCTGTAGTGTGAATGCAAGAACAACATGTTTGTGTATGTATACACATGCACACTTGTACAAATTATCTGGCCGTGTTCCTGGGATGCCCAAGTGCATTTCCTCACCAACTCCTTAGCATTCCTGCTGCAAACAGAGGGAACTGAGGAAAGAACCCGATACGATGACACACAAAAGCAGGTATTGTTGAGTCAACCCCTTCATACTATTAAGGCCTAGTTATTGTTTAAAATTTCCTAGAAGGTGGTTGGGAAAACCCAGGCTGCATTAGGAATCCTCAGGGGGCCCTATACTTTGTGTTTTGGCACCCCTGCTTTAAGGATGTGAAACCACCACCCCATCCTTTGTAACAATTTCAGGGCATGCATTATATTTTAGAGAGAATTATTAGCTTTATTCAAGGCCAGCAGTGAGACAGCTCTCGGAAATTATCAGCTCAAAATGCAGCATTATACCAATTAAGCACCCTATCTTAAGCACCTGAAAGAAATTTCTCTTTCCAAGTGAAAGAGAAGATTGCCACACTTCTGAATGCTCAAAAAATATTTAGGAATACACCCATCCCTCTCGCTGAAAAATATACCCCAAAGCTAGAATGTGTTGGAACCTTCTCTTCTGGCTGAATCCTTCACCAGCTTTTCTTCCTGGGGTTGTAGGTCAACAAAAAGTAGAGAGATCCCATTCCAAAGAAAAATGTTTGAACCAACCACAACCGCTGAGTTGAAGGGTCTGTGATGCCTTTCATCCTGCAGTGAAGAGACAGACAGATAAAGCCTGACATTTCTGAATGTATTACTTAAAATCTAAGTAAAGTAGATAGATGTCTATTTTGTCCTCAGCTGCTTGGAGGATGGGCAGAAACTGAAGTTGGGCTGGCATCCACACCCCTGCTCCCTCACCAGAAGCCTTCAGGGAACTTTCCAGGGTGGCATGTGATACACCAATGAAGGAAAGATATCAGCAATGCAGTCACTAGTTCCAGATAACCTCCAAACAGGGTTTTGAATCCAAGTGCATATATCTGGGATTTAGAACCATCATATTGTTACTCCTCTGCTGGCACTCACACAGACCAGCCTACTTACACAGTCACTCGCTCCTTCTTGTGCTTCTTTTATGTTCTTTTATTTTGCTTACTTCATTTATACATCCCAAAGCAATTAACAATACGAAATCATCAACAATAAAGGCATATATAAACACAATGCAGATAAGGGCCAGGACAAAATTCTGATTAAAAGGCTTCTTAAAAGAGGAAGGTCTTTAAGAGGTGCCTAAAAGACAATAGACAGAGTTCTCAGGGGTAGGTGCCACCAAAATTTAAGGTCCAGTTCCCGCATTATACGGAGCAGATCTCCTGTTGAGATGGTATCGGCAAGAGGCCCTCTCCTGCAGAATGCAACCATGAGTTGTATATATAAGGTGCAAGACAGCCTTTTAGGTATCCTGGTCCTCAGATGTATAAGGCTTTGTAAACTAGTACCAGCGCCTTTATTATTATTTTTTAAGAAACCTGACAAAAGGATCAGGGTAAGTTCACCTGCCACAGCTGGGTTGGGTTCCAATGCACAGCACACCTCATTGGTTCAATGTTGGAAAGCACTGGTTGCTTTTTTAAAAGCAAATTCAACGACAGCTCCAAAGTCGGTCCTTGACAGAATTTACTTTAGACCCAATTCTTGGAGATAGGTTGTGAAGATTATTAACACCTGTGTGTCACTTCCATACCACTTTAGGCAGTGAGAGGGAGTGCTCATGCACAACACCCCATATCCGTACCCAGAAAACCAGCTCACAAGCCCAGACGCAGCTTTGCCGCACTACCTGCTGTTTAGGAGAGGGCAGAGGGAGGTGGAGGTAGAAGAGACCCAAAATAAAATAAAAATAGCTTACTTGCATAGCTTGAGGGCATATAATGCTTCCCCGATGTGGATTAACCAGGTAATTAAATATCTGAAAGGAAGGAAAATAACACCATTTGTAACTGGCGTAAATTAAAGCAAGATAAGGGTTAGCCCAAAACATTTAGGTATTTCCAGGGGAAAACCAAACACATCCCCAATCACCAGCTAATTAACAGGGGACACAACCCTGTTTTTTTCTCATGCAAGCCCTTGTGAAATGGACAGGGGTTCACAGAAGCAATGCAAATATGCTTTGTGCAATGCCTGTTCATTTCGGTAAGCATGGCTTGTGCAAGAGAAACACACAACAGGTGCAGGAATGGGGTTTTCAAAAAGCAGGCAATCATTCTGCCCTGCCCTTTGATTAATGTGCATATTTCTCATAACAAGTTATGTATAGCCTAAACCGGACCAGAAACACTACACAGTCTGAGTGGAGTAAGGCATGTATGGAGCTGCTCTTTAACCCATAGCTGCCAACCGTCCCTTATTTGGCGGGAAACTCCCTTATCCCAGCGCTGTGCCCCGCTGCTGTCCCTTATTGATGATGTCCCTTAAATTTCCCCGGTTTCATGCTCGCCCGGCTCGGGAGGGAAGCAGCGGCTCGGGGTCCTCCGCCTTGAGAGAGAGAGCGCACGAGCTGCCGTGTCTTCGTCTCTCCCTTTTCCCCCTCAGGGGCACATTGTGAGGAGACGGGTGGCGGGTGGCGGGCAGGCAGCCCCTCTTGCGAGACTTCTGCTGCGCTGCCAGGGGAAGCCGGAGGCGGCAGCAGTGGCTGCGGCTGAGGAGGCGGCCTGAGGGAGGAGGAAGAGGAGGGGATGGGGAGGGACACAGAAGGGCGGCACTTCAGCCGCCGCCGCCGCGCCACAACCGCCTCATGCCGGGCTCACGGGCGGCATGGGCGAGAGTCTCTCTCCCTCCCTCCCT